TACTACTGCTGATGGAGTCAGTGCGCTGCTTGCCCATGTCCGGGGTGCGGCCGGCTCTTGGGGGGTTACTGAGTTTCATGCCATGTCCGGTGTCATCCAGAACGTTATAGTCGATCGGGGAGGATTTATACTTCATGGGTTTCTCTGGGTTGGCCGGTGCGATGATCTTGTGAGTGCGGGGACAATTCTTGTTGGTCGTTAGCACACCAATTTCCCTTCGGGAAACTTTCTCTTTGTGGATGCTGACATTCTGTATGACCATCATAAAAAAATAGCATAAATTAAATCAATAAAGAATAAAATCTCTCATTAAAATAGCCCTAACCCCTTCAGTGATTTACTAGGAACCTTCCTCGCTCTTACAAAATCCAACACCAAATGGTAACGCAACACCAATACTGTTGGACTCTGATTATGGTGGTATGCGTGACCACCTGTGAAGCATAATCAGTTTACTAGTTCAGTACTTAACCCCAACTCTCTAGGCCTTTTTGCTAGGATGTAGCCTCAATCCTGCAAAATCCTCCAATTGGCCTCATGGAAAAATAGCATATAGCCTCAATCCTGCAAATTCCTCCGTTATTTCTTGAATATGGTCCATGGAGGAGTGACCACTGCCTGAATCCTGCAAAATCCTCCGGCTATGACTGTCAATAGGCAGAGGCAGTGACATCCTGGAGCAGTGCGGAGGATGTCATGTATAATCAAGGACTAAATTTATGCACGGCTGAGCATAAACAACACAAGGTCCGGCCCAAGACCTTGACACAGTGCGTACTCCGAAATCAGCAAAGCACTTTTGCCATGTAACCTTAATCCTGCAAATTCCTCCAAGTTGCAAAAAAGGATTTTGGAGGATTCAGGGCGGTTAGGGTTAATCCAACAGATTCCAACAAAACATGCAATTAGATTTTGGAGGCTTGAGGGTGGTTAGGGTTTAGTTGGCATCAATTGCCAATGCCAAAAAACGTATGGGAAAAAAAAAAACATGTCACCGCACCACTTCTTGGGCTAGCTCCATACCAGAAACCGGAGGCTTTTGTTTGCCCTATGGACAGAGTCTAAACACTTTGTTGCAACAGGAAATAAGACGATTACAGACATGTACGTACCCTTGCTATGTGATTAATACTAGACTCCATGTCAGCGAGTTGTACTCCTTGTAAGTCCAACATCTGTAGCATGCTGGTAGCCAAGGTGTTGATCTGATAGGCCACGCTGGCCAGCGACTGGGTAGCATACTGTTTGGTCTCTGCCAAGGCATCTGCCTTGTTCGCAGCCTGCCAAAAACAAAAAAAACCACATTTTCGAAGATTGCATTTTATTCTGTAAAACCCAAATGATTGCAATATGTGTAGCCAATAAAAGCATCTATTCATTTGCACACAAGTATTTATTGGTTGCAACATGTGTAACCATTTAGCACTCCAAAATGAAGACTCTGTCAGTTTCATGAAAATGGGTCTTGGAAAGAGATAAGGAATTTTGGAAAAGAAAAAGTTTACGAAGTTCCTGGATGGCTGGGCTAACCTATACAATGGTTAAAGGGAATGTACATCATTGGCTTTTGCTGTAATTTTCAGAAATGAACTATTTGAGAGGTTAGTATAATAAATCAAATATTGTTACACTGACATTTTTGAAGTTTGGTGTTCGAAAAGGTTGGAAAAACCAATAAAAACAAAAACGTTCAAGTAGTCTGGTTCCCTGACTCCACAAAAGATAAAATGGGTCCATTTAAAGTTGATGGAAAATTGTAAGGCAAGGGAACCAGTCTAGCTGGCCTGCACCCGTTCATGAACATGTAACCAATAGCAAACAAAATTTGGACTGAAAAAAAGAGGTAAATTTGGAGCAGTAGTTGAAAAATAGTTAGGTTTTTCCAACGCTGGTCGGCCGACCACCGTTGAAAATGTTTACAAAAATACCATTTTCTTGAAAATGACTTCACACCAGGTGCCATAATTTTTCAAGATGCTTGAGACTGTCATTTACCAACATCCTAATAAGGTATTTCGTAAATATTTGGTAGTTTTATTTTTCGATGTTTGCAAATGTTGTATATTCCCTTTAAACACAATTTACTTTCCATCAAACCATCACCTTATTTCTTGTTGGTTCTAAGCATTTAAAATATTACCCAAAAGTGGGTATTGTCTCTTATACATGTAGGAACTGGGCCCGTATTACTACACAAGCACTTTTTTCCCCAATAATTAAGCCGAACTCCCTAGTGTCTTTTACTAAGTACTGGACCAAGTCCGCCAAAATCCATCAATGACCCTGCTTCATATAAAGCTTTGGGACCAAATCTGCTGAAATCCACAAGAAGACCACTACTACTATAGGAGGATTTAAGTCTTGGTACTCATGGCTTGCTTACCAAAATCCCCAAAATGGGGGAATGGATTTTGATGGAGTTGGGAAGTTTAGGGTTTATGTTATGTTGGGGGGTGCTGTGGTCCAATGGTTACGGTGTTCGACTGGTGTGCCGTGGTACATGGGTTCGAATCCTGACTGTGGGAACATGGTGCTTGTGCTCTTGAGCAAGGCACTTTATCATTATTGTTTCGTCCTTCGGATGGGACGTAAAGCCGTAGGTCCCGTGTGTTGTGTAATGCATGTTATAGAACCCAGTTACACTTAACGCTTAGAGAAGGGGTTTGCCCCAGTGTTTCTGGCAGTGGCTGCAATATGCGCTGCAGCACCTTGTAAACCCTTATAAGGTGCTACTTAATGGGTCTCATATTTCTCATAAACTTCATTTACCCGTCTTTATTAATAGACATATTTTCCAGTGCCTTGAGTACCTAATTGTTGGTAGATACGTGCGCTATATAAGACTCCGATATTGTTATTATTACTATGTATCCAATCACCAATTGTGAACAGATGGACACTCAATTCTCAGAAAAAAGAAGAAATATTCTGCAATTAAAAGTATGATTCGATTGAAAACAATACATAAAAAAAAGAAGACAATTCTTACTTTTTAAATTAACCTGATTTATTATTTAATTAACCAATAAATCACACAAAAATCGCAATGGTTAGACTTTGTTATATTTAATAATTTCAAAATATACCTACTTCATTTTAAGTTTTTGGCCAAATGTGGCAGTAAAAAGTTTGAGGTCGGCAATTAGTCCGAAAATTTGGGACTCTCAATACTGTGTATGAGAGTCCCAAAACTTAAGGTATCCATATCGTGCAAAAGTTTGTGCTGCATAATAAAACCAGTGTGAATCAAATGTGCAAGCTTCTTACTCACTACAGTTTCTTCAATAATCCCCGAAACTTCTGCCCTGCAATGTTGCTGTTGTGAGCATTGCATCACCAAAAATTCAGCGTTTAATTCTAATTTTGCAGGGAGTTATCGAAATCAAAACGCGAAACATCACGTTGATGTGTACTGCAATGCATTGTGCAAAAAGACTCCTCAGCTAAAACATTTTCATCGTGTAGATAAAACAGCGCCCTCTTGTTGACCTGAGTGAATGCAGAATGTTTCATTTTTTAACAGAGGGCGCTATGTTCATTTGGCAATCGATTAAAAAACAAGTAAGCTGCAAGGCTCTTCCTACACCTACCCAGAGTACCTTGGGAATCACACCACCATTTCTAAAGCATGGAGAATGACGTGGATGGTTTTTGAACTGTCAAAAACTTGCCTTAAAATTGGATTTAAGGTCTCAAATTTTGCAGGTGACATGCTTGCAACTTAAGCATTTTGATGTATGTGTTGTGTGGGCATTAATTAGCCAAATGGTGAGTAAAAAAACGTCAGTAGTAATTTTGCTCATTTTTATGCACTCACGGTCCCAGTCTGGTCGGCAATATGCCTTTAAAATCCAGGTAGGTCAGGTTACTGTATTAAAACACACAATGTTTTAGGTCTTACTGTATTCCGGGCCCCGTTCCTATTATTAGTATAAGAGAACACAAATATACCTTTTGCTTTTTTGACTCGCCTAATTACTGGCACTGCTAGTTAGCGATGTTCAAAATCAAAAACATGAGTGGCATAGCTAAAGAGCGGGGTTTTGATTTTTTTCGGACAGTTTTGGGGCAAAACGACAAAGAAAATGACCAAACGCAGCAGGAAAATATCTATAGATGGTGTGCAAAACCGTCTTGATTCGTCTTGGCATCAACTGTGGTCTGTGTAAAATTAAAATAATTAAATCGAAGTGGCTATCGTTACGGCAGCCGTTGTTTAGCGCCCTCTACGATACTTTTTTGATACGCACGCAGACGCAGGTATATAATTATTTGTTTCCCCACGTTTTAGCGAGCAGTGCGACAGCTCAGTCGATAAAGGGTAGGATTTTGCACCGCGAGGTTGCGGGTTCGCATCTCAGTTTTGCACTCGAATTTTTTTTCCTTTTCTAACTTGAGGCTTTGGAGGATTTTTTTTTAAAAGGGAAATAAAGTCTGAATTTCATAACGTTCAAATTCATTTTTTTCCTTCTAATTTTATATTTTCTTCTCATGTTTTTATAAAAGTTGCAGTACTACCGTAACGATAGAAAATGGGAAATGCGTTATGGCTGCCGTAACGATATAGCCACTGCGTAATTAAATAGGCCCAAGAAATTTGCTAGGACCACAGTTTCTGCCAAAAGATATTGTTCAACTTTTCAAAAAAAAAGGTCATTAGAATTTTAAGAAGTTGGCCTTGTTTGTCATCCATACCCAGCATGCACTGCGATTGCGGACTTCCGTACATGTACACGTACACATTACACGTAGCCTAATCAAAGCAGCCAGTGAATCACACAAGCGATGACAAGCACCGAATTGTGGTTCATCAATCGGGAAACAAACGGGATGTCAACCAGTTGCAAAATACTTGCCTTTAGATAGTTGTCTTCGCAGTAAGACGCCACATCCAGCAGATTCGCATGACTGTCCTGTAATTCTTTTCGTCCTCCAGGAATTTCACTGTCAAAAAGCTCTGCTAATCTGGACATTTTGACTGCAAAATGTCTGACCTCAAGACACGCTTTGGTACTTCCGCATAATACCAAGTCTTCGGTGGTGACCTGCAACGGGCGTTCCATCCAAAGTGTGTGTGTCTATTCGGATGGCAGGGTACCAGGTATATTTTATATGGGTACGTAGCCTCCTTACCGGGCGTGTTTATATATGTTTCGTGTTAAAGTGGGGTCGTGGGAAAAAATAGGTCACCGGCTTACATTTTTTCCCGACTGGTAAAAAATAATATTTACCCCTTTCATTCTAGATTTTTTTTTGCTAATTTCGCTCTATTTCTTGGGGAAGCTTATTCTTAGATGCGTCGTCGCAATAAGATTTTTTTTCCGGTGGGATGGGAGTGGTTGGATGTTATGGTTAGGTTTGGCAATAATAGTTTGCTGGGTCGATGGCCGTCACGGTGGAGATGCAAAATTGAATTTTAGGGGGAACGTAGGCCTACATTTCCTGTTTGTGACCAAGGACTCAAGTTCCTGGTCCCCTCCTTGCAATGTAGCCTATATACCATGGGCGTCAATCCTGGGGGGGGGGGGGGGGGGGGGACATGCCCCCCCCCCCCCTCGCCCCACTTTTTGAAGGGTGGGGGATCGATGGGACACAATATCAAATGTCCCCCCCCCCCCGACTTTTGAACTCGTGCCTCATTTACAGGGCCCTATTATGTACTACAATGTATCTTTTGCTAAGAAAATATTGGTTAAAGTGATCAGAAATTGCCTCAGATCACACCACATGAGCATCTAGAATCCGATTTTTTTTCGGGGCCCTTAAGCGGGCCCCGAACCCCACGCCTTTAGCAGAGAATATAATAGCTTATTCAATGACTTCAACCTCGAAAATGATGTTTAAATCCGTTATCTTTTGCTTAGAAAATATTGGTTAAAGTGATCAGAAATTGCTTCAGATCACACCACATGAGCATCTATCCCTTAAGCGGGCCCCGAACCCCACGCTGTAAGGGCTTCCGACGCTTGCATTATTTCTGATTAAGGTATGTCCCCCCCCCCACACTTTTGAGAAGCGATTGACGCCCCTGCTATATACCATCGTTCCTATCAATACCATTTATTACGTCAGACTCACTAGTTTGAAGACAGTCTTCTCAAAGGGTGGGATGTGAACTCTTGTATTTCTAGAAAGCTTGACCAACTGAACCAGATATCATTTCGAAATTCGAAAATAGCACGGGTCAAACATTGTCATTGACATGTATAATAATATGTAGACATACGCGTCATATATTATTGTATTCTTTGTGGTGGCTATTGGAAATACGCCTGTAGGTAGCCCCAAAATGAATGGTTTAGTATTATTTTCATTACGAGCTCAAAATGACGACAATTATTATAATGCACCATCGCGCACTGCATGCAGTCGGTATAGACCGAAAATAAAAGAAAGCTTTTGGTATAGATAGATGTCACTTTATATTCACAATGGAATGAGTGGTTTACTCTCAGTCTCAGTAGTGGGTGGATCTGGAAAGAGCAGTGGCGGAACCAGAATTCCGGGGGACCGGTGGTTTTATAAGCTTATTTTCAGGTGGAATGGTAGTTGATGGGTATACGTTGCATGCAGTCAATTAACACACAGAAAATAATGAAGTAATGAATAGCTGCAAATGTGGTATTCAGTGACCTGGGAAACGTGTTTTTTCCCCAATATGTAAATAATATTAACATTGCTCAGTCGGGGGGGGGGGGGGGTTGCATGCTCAGCTTGAAAACAATAATGTCAAGTTTCTTTGTGGCGTGCGTGTGCTTGATGAGACAACATAATCAGGGGCTATACTAGTGCTTGTCCGGTTGGTATATGCAACATTGGTATACCGCGTGATAGCAATCGCTATCATGATAGGGAAATATCGTTTTTCCGTTTTCGGTTTCCTTTCCTTTCTTTGCTTGTTAGTCATGTATTAACCATATTGAACACAACACCTGAAGCTGGTCTTTCTTTAGGCCTAAAAATAAATGCATTCACGTGTGGCCAATCGTGGACCAATCGGGCGTCATACTAGTAACATTTTGTCCATTGCCAATCGTGATCAAACTGTGAAATCGCACGGTGTTTGTTAGGTTCTATTCCATTCTCCTTGAGTCTTTGGGGTCTCACATCATTGTTCATGGATTTCTCTATCACATTAGCATTGCAGCGGTTTCTATGGAGTGACATATTATAGGCCCACACCACGTACATGTACTTCGAACTTGAAATTTGATGGGTTTATCGACTACATGCAGTGGCGCAGCCTTCAGCTCATCAGACACCGAGGTGGTCCGCGATTTGTGTTCACAGGGCCGTTCACCGGGCCGGTACGTAGCAGTGATGTAGTGCCTTGATGCTGGGCCTTGGCCTTAAGGCTGCCTTAAGGCTGGATTTTAGGGCCTTGGCCTTGGCCTCGAGGCTTGAGGGCAAAAGCCTTGGCCTTAGCCTTGGCCTTGAGGGTTCAGGGCCTTGCAATTTTGAGTCAAGGCTCTTCAAGGCCCATAGATTTTTGCATTTTCCAGATAAATCTGTTCGAAATTTTGCTGTTACCATTTTAATCGTATTACCATGGAGGAGGGAATATTAAGCACCCTATAGATTTGTGTGTTGGGCACACGTCCACTCTTGTAGCATCACATTTTGTTACTATTGTAGTAGATTTGCTGCAAAATATTCCGTACACTTGTGGGGCTAATGAGATGATCACTTTAATTGCATATAACTATGGAACAGATCTGATTGGTTGTATATGTCTCCCTGATAAGTGCTAAAGATTTGCATGTATCTGTTTTAGATAATGCTGATATTTCTGACCATGTTGGGCCAGCAAATAAAAATTTCCAAAATCAGTTTATTGGATCCCCCTTTTGTTACACTTGGGAGAATTGTGTGTCAATATAGAAGTAAATCATTATTTTGTTTAGTTAAACCATATTGAAGACCTGAACTTATACTTTAATAGATACAGTGCAGTCATAAAACGGTGTAGGCCTATGCGAGCATGTTGATTGCAATTAAAGAAATGTTGTTCTTCGTAACGAGCAATTCGTGATGATAAGGGCGGATCCAGGGGGGCCAAAAGGGGCCATGCCCCCCCCCCCTAAAAAAAAACGAAACCATTTTTTTTAATGTGATGTCGAAATAAAGGCAGGCAATGAGTACACCACCATCTTTTCCTAAAAAAACATCGGTTAAAATGGTCACAAATTGCCTCAAATCACACCACAGAGCATCTCGAATCCAAAAATTTTCGGGGCCCTTAAGCGGGCCCCGAAGCCAAAGCCAAAGCCGTAATTTTTTGACCCACTTTTTTTGGGGGGACCAAAATTTCTTTGCCCCCCCCCCCCATTGTGTTCTGGATCCGCCCTTGCGTGATGATGTGTCACTCATGTGACTATAATTAGTTCTATATCAGTGGTCATTTCATAAAACAGGGCCTTGGCCTTGGCCTTGGCCTTGAGGGTTAAGCCTTGGCCTTGGCCTCGAGGCTTGAGGGTCAAAGCCTTGGCCTTGGCCTTGGCCTTGAGGGTCAAAGCCTTGGCCTTGGCCTTGGCCTTGAGGGTCAAAGCCTTTGCTCCAACACTGGTACGTAGTGCCGGAGACGCGCAAGGTATGTATAGGCCTATACAGTACTATTAGGCCTATCGCTTTTAATCTTTTGGCTAACTTAATTCAGTTGTATAAAGGCCAAAAGCTTAAGTGAGAAGTTTTTCCCATTTGCTTTCCCAAAGCCTTTTTGTTTCCATTGGAAAATCACCATGACCATTCAGAACGCAATTTCGACTAAATAAGTCTATAATGTTTGTACGATCACTAGCGCAGAGCTCTGTTGTGGGTCATCCGCCGGGCGATATTTTTTGGTCTCGTTTTGAGTCATAAATCATCCGGTACATATTGATCGTTGATGGCCGGCGTTAGACGATCAAAACAAACCCTCAAAATAATGCGTTGGCTATAGACAAAGTTACAATTTGTTTACAAATTGGATGATGTGGTCACGAGATATACCAATAACTTTCAGCAAACTCAGTGTTCTCCACTGCGCCGAATGTGTATCACTTGAAATGTGATTGATGTATGGTGTTGAGAATTTAATCTGAGAAACTGTTAAGTGTGGACAAAATAACATGAAAAAAAAATACTTAATATGTTTGGGTTGCATGTCGGTAATTGCTCGTTGGTTTGACGTCACAGGTAATTAGTTACCGTGGTCTATGGACCTACGTACGCCTAGCTGTCATGCGCAACAACAAAGAGGTACATGTTCATGTGACACCGTTTGTTTGTATTTCAATGGAAGTTGATCTGTATGGTGCGCTTCCGGGTTCAAGTCATTACAAGATTGCCATTAAAAATGATTCACTACAGCTATAACGATGAAAAGTCGTCCATGCAAGCGCACCAGTTACCTAGTTTTTCCGCCGCCTGGACGGATACCTGTTTGTTCTGATGGTTTGCATTGAGTCGGCATTTTAACATTTCACATCTGTCCTTTTTATCCCGATTATTGTTATTATTAGTTAATGAAATTCGTTTTACCCTTAGATACATTTAGGCCTACAAAGCAGCACGGTCTAAATCGACAATGATGAAACTCGCAGCAGTATGTTGTCTTCTGGTGCTGACAGCCTTGACAACGGCCTCTACGTCCCAAGGGACGGTTGCCCCTGGTTCTTCATACGATGGCTCGCTGTTAATTGGTGCCTTCAACATCCAAGTATTCGGAATCAGTAAAGTTGGTAAAGTTCACGTATTGCAGACGTTAGTTAAGGTTAGTAAAGTGTCGCACACTTCGTGACGCCTAGAACTTATCTGTGTGTTCGTTAATTCTTTAATATGTTTACAGCATTAAAGGGAATATACAACATTTGCAAACATCGAAAAATAAAACTACAAGTTTTTACGAAATACCTTAATATGATGTTGGTAAATGACAGTCTAAAGCATCCTGTAAAATCATGGCACCTGGTGTGAAGTCATTTTCAAGAAAATGGTATTTTTTAAAAAAAAATCAGCGGTGGTCGGCCGACCACCGTTGGAAATACCTAACTATTTTTCAACTACTGCTCCAAATTTACCGTTAATTTAGTCCAAATTTTGTTTGCTATTGGTTACATGGTCATGAACGGGTGCAGGCCAGCTAGACTGATACCCTTACCTTACAATTTTCCGGCATCTGTAAATTGGTCCATCATTTATATTTAGTGGAGTCAGGGAACCGGACTACTTGAACAGTTTTGTTTTTCTTGGTTTTTCCAGCATTTTCGAACACAAAACTTCAAACATGTCAGTGTAACAGTATTTGAACTATTATACTAACCCCTCTAGTTCATTTTTGAAAAATACAGCAAAAGCCAATGATGTATATTCGCTTTCATAATTGTATGAATTTAATTTCTTTACATTTAAATATAAAATGTATAGTAAAGGATAGATATTTTGGTGAAATGCATTCATCGCTATATGCAGGATGACCTGTTAAAAATGGATACATGTCATTTTACGTATTTTTTTGCGCAGATTTTGAAGAGATATGACCTTGTGTTGATTCAAGAAATCCGCGATAGTTCTGGTACGGCAATTCGCACACTGCTTGACACTCTGAACTCGTAAGTGTAACAAAATACTCTTTGCTATACACATTAATGTTACAGTGTAATGGAGAAAAGTGCCGTTTTTAGTATTTCAAGATTTTGGTGTCTTTTACAAAAGATTATTGTATATGTAAAAGTCGAAATAGTTAAGAACAGAGTACTGTATTAAAAAAAAGTGAAAAATATTTATCATTGCTCATAAGATTAAGACGACTTTTAGCCAGTGTTCTGTTGAAGAAGTTACCTCAGTGTATGACTGCGTAATTAAAAGAGTGAACTTAGGGCTATAAGGCCAAAAAGTCTCAGGTTTCTGGTATGGAGCTTGCCCAAAAAGTGGTGCGGCGACGCGGCTTTTTTTTACAGGTTTTTTTTCTTCAAATTTCGGCTGATGACTGCAAAATGGTGCCCGACTAACCTTAGTGCAAATATATGGGAGTCCAGAGAGGCCACATGAAGCTTATTCTCGATCGTAACCCCATCTGAAAACACGTTAAAATTGTGTAGCAGCAGGATTCCAGTCAAACCAGTGAGTTTGGAAGTTTTGAGGCATCATCTTTCATTGGAAAAAAAAACAACCCTTTTTCATTTTGCCGACGCGCATTGCTACGGTGACGCGCGCGCATACCAGAAACCGGAGAATTTTGGCCCAAAGTTGTGAAAACCTGAAAACATTAAAAACTTAAATTTCCCCAACTTCTTATCAGGGAGGTCCAGGACAAATATGAGATGGCCTTGAGTAGTAGACTCGGACGTACATCGAGCAAAGAGCAGTATGCATACTTTTACAAGTAAGATTCGCAGAATATTGTTTTTATTTGCCTTTTGATGTCATGACCATACCACTTGTTGGCATCGTAATATTGTCTGCCAGTGATTCATTGTTACTTTGAGAAGCCTGTTGTTGGTCATCCTTTTACTCAGTAATGAAAGCGAAACCCAAATGGCAGGACCATTTGTTCAGTGAAGTTCTGCATGTAGCACTTACAAAATCTAGGACATGAAAGCCCAATTCATAAGCTTTCTTTTAGTACAAGAATCATTCAAATCACTCATGTACTTTTCAAGTTTAAACACAAACACCGTTTTGAAGTTCTGTCCACGGATCACCCCCCAAAAGGTAAAGGCATTGCAACAAGTCACATATATCTTTATATGTGAATTGTTTCAAATGGTTTAAAATTCCGTAACTTGAATTCGATTGATTCTTGTACTAAAAATGCTCACTAATTCGGCTTAATCATATACTGTATTTTGAAAGTGCTTCATGCAGAACTTCACTATATACAATTAATGGTTCTGACATTTGGTTTTCGTTATTTGTTTTACTCACCCTGTACTGAACGTTCCTGTGCGCATGTGTCTAAATATACACACGAAAGTGTCAACCCGGTTGTGTCACGACCCGGTTGTGTCAAGTCAACCCGGTTGACCAGGTAACATTCGTCCAATGAGAGCACCAAAAAGGTCGACCCCGGGTCCATGATCAAGTTAAGACATTCGTCCAATGATAAAGCTCTCAGAAATTAGAGATGACCAGCGCCCTTAGATAGGGAGGTTGGGTTGAGCGAAGACTGTTTGGGGCACTATTGCGCAGGCTTTAATAATCTCAAAAATATAATGTTCATCTCTCAGGCCGAGTCGGCTAACTTTGCTTTGGAACTACGTCTACGATGACGACAGTGAAGATAAATTCGAGCGGGAACCGTTTGTTGCTTATTTCGAGTCGCCGACAACTGGTAAGATCACGAACAATAATTAGGGTCGCGGTCCCCCAAATCACGCTGAAAGCAAGCAAAGCAATGAAGTTTCCCCGTTTGTTTTACCAGAAAAGAAAAACTGTTCATTGATATGCGCCGTAAAACCTGCACGGGAAATTCAGAGCATACCTCACGACTCACGTGCGCTGTATTCATGCTCAACATGTGCGTGAGGAATTTCCTGGCCGCTGTCGAATTTCCCAAGATCTTTCGATAGCGACCTCTACCATCGTTGCAAATTTGGTCCAGTCTGGGACTGGTAGCGTCTTGGCAAAAGACGAACTGCAGAGTGTCGGCTCAAAGTGACGCTGTTTTATATAGGCCCATATAAAATTCGATTTTTGGCTTTTTGTTTGTTTGGTGTTTTGGGTTGTTTGTCTGTTTGTTTGTTTTTTATTGGTTACCACATTCCAATTTGGATCAGGATATTCAGGATAAGCCCGTATATTGTTACAAGTTTGCCCTCCTCCAGTGATGGAGATGAGGATTCAATAATAAAATGCAAATAATGGACACTCTTTACGATTACAGCCATGGAACGCTTCGCAATGATCGGTGTACATATCAAACCGAGCGAAGCGGTGGCGGAACTCGACCACCTTGTCCATGTCTATGATGACTACGTGAACAAGTCTGCAGGCAATACGGTATGTTTGGAACACAACAGCCACATTTAAGGACTTTATAATCATTCGTTACACTATGACCAATTTGCTTGAAACCATTTTCATCCGAAACAAGTCGACAACGTGATTTTTTTAATGATTTCTTTTGAAAATCTGATTCATACTTGTCAGTCGTATAGCCATTGCTTTTTCTCAAAATAGTTTTGACGGTCCTTTTTGTATCATACCTGACTAAAATGACTGTCACTTAGAATTAGACTAGTTACATATCTCACTGAACGTCTGTCACTTGTGATTACACTTGTCTGGCCGCAGCTTTATAGGTGATCTATACACCGCGTGTGTATTAGTCTGGCGCCACTTGTTTCTTGTACTCCATGATGATACATTTTGTGTGTACATGTAGTCAAGTCTCAATGCGAACGGCAGAAGTGTATTTTCAACTCCATCATAACGTTATCACTACACAGCCCATTCTACAGAATTTTAATCATTATAAATCAATTAAATAGCTTTTTTCGCGCTCAGCTAGCTTTACCAGGCTTTTATCATTTCTCGATAACGTAAAATGTCATTTGATTATGTAACACCCATCCTCCTGAGGACGCGAGCACACTGCCCGAAACGTCGAGTTCTCCACTCTACCAACCGGTTCTTTTCAGAACCACACTTCTTCCAAGAAGAGATTACTTTCCACATGGTGTTACCCGCAGATCTCTACTTAAACGATTGTTTATTTAACAACAAAAGGTCCGAAATAAAGTTCTTCTTTTTGGTAATCATTGTTATGCAGAATGCCATCATTGCTGGTGATTTTAATGCCGACTGTCGATACGTCTCTAAGACCGCCCTGAAGAACTCCCTCTTGCGATCGGACATGCGATTCCGTTGGATTATTCCCGATGACGCAGATACAACTGTTGCCGCTTCAGATTGTAGTTATGATCGGTATGAGTGTAAAATAAAGATCCCCGATTGTTATGGTATTCCAGGTTTGCATTACAGTGTGCACCAACGGAATGCTAGACGTAGAATGTGTAACCAACATAAATATATGGTTTGAAAGATACGCCTTGATTCACTTTAAATGAGACAACAAACGTCCAAATCTGATAACTTTTGACAAAGTTATGAGTAAGAGAGGTCAAATTTACCATGGGACCAAGTTTTCAATTGTAGGCATTGGAGAATAGCCTCTGCGTGGATAATAATGCCTGGCCTACAAAAAAATGTGTTTAGCAAGTTAACACAATTCTAAACACTTTTTGCTATCTGTTTGTAAACATGTTTTCACGCTAAACACTTGTAGCGTGAGGTGATAGCAAGAAAGTGTTTAGAATTGTTGTACTCGCAAAACACATTTTTGTAGGCAATAGGCAAATATCCACCAAGAGGCAATAAGCTATACCTTTGTCACATGCCTAAAATTTAAACCTTGGCCACTTTGACCTCTCTTGGAGAATTACTCATAACTCTGTCAAAAATTATCAGATTTGGACGTTTGCTGTCTCAGTTTAAAGTGGAAAGGCGTATCTTTCAAATCATACCTACATTATCTATATTGAATACACATTTCTACGTCTGGCATTCCGTTATATTTTGCTTGCGTTTTTTTAGGCACAATGTATAACGTTGCTATATATATAGTTAATTTATGGCTTGTGACGTAAAGAATACAATTTTAGTATATCTAAAAAAAAAAAATCGTAATTTTGGTAACCTCCAGACGGCGAGAACTTGCCTGAGGATCAGACATTCATGTGTGCATGAGCCACGGTAACATGCAAATTTTATGCGATCCCGCGCGCCAGCCAATGGGACTCTAAAAACTGTGAGGTCACTTCGATCAGAAATGTGGACTAAGCTGTTGATTGGTCAAGTTCACTGCAAAACTGCAGTGTTAAATTTACACTGTTGGTATTTTATATAGGACCATCTGGTGTTAAAGTTTACTGGTGTTGTCCTATATAGATACCGAATGGTGTTAAATTAACACTACAGTTTTTACAGTGTTGGGGGCCATGTTTTGATAAAACAACAACAACGGGTTACGGAAGACCAAATATATACAAGGCGCCCGCTGAATGGTCAGAATCCCGAGGTCAAGACGCAGTCTTGTTTTGCGTATTAATCTGCTCACATTATCATATACCCTTGTTGTGCAATTCCACAGACCAACGAGAATGCACTGTCGGGGGAGATAACTAAATTACGTCATCCTGCTGTTGACCAATCCATAAACAGTAAAAAAAACTTTTCTCTCTGTCTCATTCTCTTTTTAGAATTGTCCTTGCCGGTGACGATTTATTTGACAGTTACCAACAAAATAGAACTGGTGCGTTTTACTTTGATAGAGAATATCATCTGGACATAAACATGGTAAGAACTCGCTCGTGAGATACGGATCACCAGAAAAATGGCATTGATTTTGGTGATGCATTTTTGATAAGTGTATCAGATTTCGATTGTGTAATGTGGCACAGTTTGATGTAGAAGTTGGTGTATGGTAAATAAGGGTTGAAGTTTATATACCTTTTGCATGCATAACTATGATTCTGCACAGGAGCCTGGCCGCACACTAGGCCAAACTGTTTTGACACCATTGGAGTTTTGATATTAATATCTTAAGCATAGGCTACTCTCTCTTATTTCCAATGACCGAAGATTATAGTGAAACTTATTCAAGCTATTGATTTTTTCACTCGGGTTTTGTCTGAAGTGATTCTATTTCAAAGTATTTCATTGTAGAGCGATTTCCGCGCTATGTGGTCTATCCACTCTGCATGAAGATTAGAGTAAAGGCTTATATTCATCTGTGAACATTTATTATTTTAACAGGCTGCAGAAGTCAGCGATCACTACCCGGTTGAGATGTTTATCAAGGGAAATCTGGATCTCGAGTATAGGTGCGTTTTTATGTCTGTGTTTCCGACGTAGATTTTTATCCAGCATAGAGTTGTATTTATACTGCCCGAGCTTTTTATGAATTTTTGGGAAATTGCAAATTTTCTAGCAATACCTATAGGTTGTGATGTAGGCCTAGGCTACTCATACGATGCGAGAAAAAAATGCCGATATCCGAAAAATTTATTTTGAAATACTAACAATTGGAGCCTTAATTTTGCATCCGATTCCAAAATCTTAGAATTGACGTATTACCGATAAGTATTAATTTTTGATCTCACGACATAATCGCAAAAATATCACAATTTGTACCCCCCCCCGCATACACATTTTATTAGTAATAATCATGTGACATATCTAATTCATATTCGCATTCGCATGAATTGATGTAATCAGAAAATATGTGAAGCCACTCTTTGGCACGAAGAAACGTACCAATTTCTTTTTAGGAGAGCAGACATCTTTAATAAATTTATAATATGAACTGTTATCATTTAGTTGCGGTATTTTTGTTTATACTCGCAGTCCTGATGCGGTACAGCCGATGTTGACTGCATACTCTGATAGCATCAGTCGCTCGGGGAGTTTCCGTGCCGTGGTGTGGATGTGTCTGCTCGTAATGGGCCCACTGATCTTCCCTTAATTGTGTATCAACAAAGTCGTCCAGTCGTATACGGTTCATCGACACATGTACTATTCAATGGATCAGACTTTTCGTAAATTAATTGAATTGAATTGAAGGTGTTTTTTTTTTAAAATTGTTCCTACCATTCTCGCAGTCCAAAGACTGAATTGCGATGGTATACAATTTACAATTTAACAGAAATAATTTTAAAAGGACCATTTATACATATGTTAGACATTGGAATATTCTTAAAAGACCATTATTTTTTTTATGCATAATGTTAAACATTGAAATATTCTAAAAAGACTCTTTATACATACATGTGCATTAAAAATGTTAAAATTCTACCTAGACTAGATAAAAAGAACTGTGTTTTGTATAACTGTATATACACGCCTTTCAATCAAATACAATGATACTATTCATGGTACAACTAAAGAAAAAAACAGTATACTTCATTCTATTCATTCATTATTAACTAATGACAACATTAAGCTTTGATAGAAAATGACCAAACGCAGCAGGAATATATCTATAGATGGTGTGCAAAACTGTCTTGATTCGTCTTGGCATCAACTGTGTAAAATTAAAATAATTAAGGCAGTGTATATTTTGCCGGAGACGGCAAACCTTTAGTAAACGTTAGTTTGCCGGATGTGCACTGAACATGCGCAGTTACTGTTTTTTTTGTACTTAAACATTTTCCCGTGACAAGTTTTAGTCTGGCTCCATGCCAAAATTATCGTTGTTACCTCGTATTCACAAGATGGGATTCAGACCATTTTATAATTTCAGACTTTATTTCCCTTTTAAAAAAAATCCTCCAGAGCCACAAATCTGAAAAAGAAAATGTAATACTCTGCAAAAAATGTTTGAGACATGTTAAAATAATAAAAGAAGAATATTCTTATTTATTTGGGGATGAGAAAAAAAACTTACAAATGTGGTGCTGTTGGAATCGAACGCGAGTCATCCCGCCTACTAGAGCCTTTGCTTAACCACTACACCAAACGTGCTACACAACTTTTGGTGGGAATTTAATACATCTTATAATTCAGCCTTATTTTAAAGAGTACAGCGCCCTCTGTTGAAATGAATTGCCACCGGCAAACCTTTAGTAATCGTTAGTTTGCCGTCATTACCTCCGGCAAAATATCCACTATCAATAATTAAATAGGCCGAGGAAATTTGCTAGGACCACATTTTCTGCCAAAAGATATTGTTCAACTTTTCAAAAAAAAAGGTCATTAGACATGTTAGAATTTTAAGAAGTTGGCCTTGTTTGTCATCCATACCCAGCATGCACTGCGATTGCGGACTTCCGTATATGTACACGTACACATTACACGTAGCCTAATCAAATCAGCCAGTGCAGTGAATCACACACACGACACAAGCACCGAATTGTGTTTCATCAATCGGGAAACAAACGGGATGTGCTCCGGGATGTCAACCAGTTGCAAAATACTTGCCTTTAGATAGTTATCTTCGCAGTAAGACGCCACATCCAGCAGATTCGCATGACGGTACAACCATAGAATGCAGGGCCACTTTACTCTACATCCGCGCCTCCGTACGGCTGCGTGGAGGCTAGGCGTGGAACCGCAGTCGACCTACCTCCGAAAATCGATCGTGGAGTCGTGGTGTTGCAACGAAAGTTGTAATCCACCGAAACTTGGTGATGACGTACGCTCGCAAGATTCGTTATCGTATCTCGAGATTCGGCGCACACACGGTTGCAATATGGCGCACGCGGGTGTAATCCTTTCACATCGTTGGTGGCGCTGGTCAGCGCGTGAATAATGGGGAGAAAATCGTAAACGGCCGAGAAAAATAACTTTGCGGGCGCCCACAATGCCCTAGGGGCTCGCCTAGCGCGCGCTTTGGCCAGCGGCCTACTTTTTTATTGGAAGATATAGCCCCTTGCCACAAACTAATGTACAGCGAAGAGAACGCATGACCATTGCAGCACTGTACGTCCTGCTGAAAAGTTCTGGGTCAAGTCTGGGTGAGTTTTGAGTTGTTTGTTGTTTGTTTTCAGTGTTTTTTGTATTCTATTTTTTTTTGTTAGGAATTGTTAGGCCTATATGCCGCATACACCGTCAGGTGTCTTTAGGAGTTTCTGCTTTCATTTACATGTAGAACTACGAACGACTTTTGGTATTTTACAAGGGTTGAACTAATGTCTAACTGACAGTTTGGTTGATAGGCCCCCTTTTTCTGTATCTTGCAATTTCTATTAAAGAAACACAGGAACAGCCGCGGTTTAAAAAAAATATATCTCACCAACCCTCCCAAAAGAGTGATTATGATGGCCTTGTTTAAAGACTGCAGTTGTTGTGATCATTAAGCAAATTCCTTCGCAAACATGCTTTCTCATTTTGCGATTTAATATTGTGATTGCATGGTTGTTTTTTTTTTTATTCTTTTTTAATTCAGAATAGGCCTAGGCCTATGCATAAATTTGATATCAATTCTAAAAACACGTCATGCTATAGAGTTTCCCTCAAGCAATATGAGATATCGAACTTAACATTGCTAAAATCTCTATCAAACTTACAATTAAATATGGAATCATTTCAAAATATTGTAGGTCCGACAATAATAATAATTGGGCGGCTTTTTCATTAATTGGGCTGCTGACACCAAAATTAATTAGAAGAAAATTATTGAGAAGAAAAGTATAATCTTCATTAATTTGTTTGTCATACCTAATGTCTGGTTTATTGACAATACATTACCTATACACAATTCTTCCTTTTTATTTCTTTTTGAGGAATAATTATTTCCCCCTTTTTTTTTGTAAGCCTACATAATAGTACAGCAAGTTTGGCCTTGCTGAGTTGCAAAAAGCCAGTCGGGCCTGTTTTATAAAGCTTGCAAAGCCAGCTGGACCATCTATCTATAATTGCTGTTGGGTTTCTAAGGACGAATATGTCAGTTTTTGCCTGATCTTTGTCTCGGTTGAAGCATTTAATTTGTTCGATGGCCTTCGGTCATGGGAACCTATATAGTCATGTATAGTGATTGATTGTACCCTCCCCTTCAACTCCCCCCTCCTTCCCTTGGGTCGTGGAAACAGATGGTTTACTTATTATGGGTCATTTTGTAGAATATTTCCACATTCTAAGACCACCCCGCAGATCATTTCACAACCCTTCCTGGACTATATTTTTTGCACCAAACGTTTAACTCTAACTTACACTTACATTTTAAAAATACTTTAGTTACATTTTCAGATTTCTATTTCAATTGCTATTGGACTTGTGAATAATTGTCTGTGGCCTGCACAAATGTTTGGGCAATATGCGCCTGCCTCCCTTTATTTCATAATATTACACATTAATAACATAGTTTACATGGACATTTAATTTATGAAGTTTTGGAATTACGGTTTACGTGATTTATTTTCTTGCCTTTTCACATATTATTTTCCCGTCATTTCATACACGATACGATTATAGTATTTGTTAGGCCTAGTTGCTTTGTAACCATAATTATGTTTTCTGTGTCTTCCGTGATAAGTGTGAGACTTTCGGTGATAAAATATAGCCCTTAAGATATTTGTCAGTTGTAATTTAAATGAGTCCTGTCCTATAACCAATGGCGTCACCAGACTTTTCAGTCTGGGGGGGGGGGGGCACAGGGGGCACCAGCATTTGAAGGGGGGGCACTTAGGTGGATACGGATCGCCGTCCTGGGGGAGGGGTCTAAGGGGAGGGGGTGCCCCCTCCCCTTTGGCAAATTTTCGCATACGGAGGATGGGCTAGATGCAAAATGGTGCCACATTTGATGCTAAATTCGATCTGAAGATATCTCAAGAAATTGCTATTTTTGAGGTAATGATTTTAACAACGCGCAGAATTTTGCAGAGGATAGGGGGGCACCAGCATTTGATGGGGGGGGGGGGGGCACTCGGGTGGGGGGGGGCACTAGGTTTTCCAGGGGGCACGTGCCCCCCCCCCCCCCCTTGGCGACGCCACTGCCTATAACTAGTGTCTATTATATATATTTGTCTTCAGTGCTTCATTGTTCGATCATGGATGCAAACAAACAATTATTCGAGAACTTCTGCAATGAGAGCTGGCCGCCGGACCGTATCAAAACATCAAATGTCATGTGGGAGGCAAAAATAAGTACCATCATCCAGAGCTTGGAGTCCGGAGTGTTTTCTTGTCCACAGGTAGGTAGATAGGCTAATGATAGCAGAAAGGCTAATGAAATGTTATCAACCTGAAACAATCAAAATTGTTAAATGCTATTGACCTGTTTTTCGACAGCAGGTACTTGATGAGGATAGTTATTCGACCCCAATTTTAATTATCGCTCCACTTAACCCATGCCTCCATGAAAAATGGCTTTCACTCTGAAAATACATCCGATTTGAAATTAGGGCACTTTTTTGTAGTCGCCTGCTCCTTTGAAAATTTTAACGGGTTGCACGACTAGCTTGTTTGGAATATTTTAATCCAACTATTACGAGAAGACGTCCCCTACAAACCATCATAGCTTTACGGATTACATTGTAAAACAGTTATACTGAGAAAATTACAAACAACTGAGAACGTAACGAGTGTTGCGTGTATACATTGGCAGTGCTTCATAGAATGTGACATAATGAAAAATATATGCTATTTTCTTGCATATTCTGACCTATCAGGTAAAACACAAACTGTTGAAGACAAGGAAGTACTTTGTTGTTCAGCCTCAGCCCGGCTTGGGACTGAACAAGAAGATGTTGGCGCAAAGGACAGCAGCGGTAATTAATTTCTACTTAAATTATCTTGCGTTTGGTGTTCCTTGTTTAAGTCATGCAACACTTTGTGCATAAGCTATTTTTGACCCACAGGAACCTTGAACCTGCCATTAGGATTTTTCCATGTATGGGGAAATGATTTGGTTCTAAGTTACGAGGTACTATACAGCTTTTTCAAAATAGTGATCGGCCACAGGTATAGGGTTGATCATATTTGGAGAGAATGTTCTCCCAAAGCCATCATTGATTTACCACCAAAATTAGAGCTGTAACTGAGAAATGATGAAAGGAGTTTTTGTAGGGGTGTCAAAAAACATGGCGATTTAATTTACCACTATTGTAGGCTATGCTTCATGATGTTTGGAACTGAAGTACGCGTTAATTGAAGTTTATTCACTAGTACTGTTTGTATACCTAATCTGAATGGCGCATACGGTTTTTTTGTAAGGGAATTGCGAGTAATAGACAAAGGCACTTTTCAAAGAAAGGAAACGAAAAAGAGATACTTTTCTTACGTTTCAAAGAAGTTGAGAGTTTCTCTAAAGTTCACGTCATGGTTCCTGTAATGGTTAACAACAATAATTGCCTCATGAAAAAAGGTGGAAATCGTATTTTCATTTATCTGTTGTGGATAACTTGTGTAATTTGCTTCACTAAAATTGCCAATTCATTTGTTTTCTTTTGCTCTGGCGCGGAATTTAGGGATCTAACAGTCTCCGCGATTGTCACTACCAAGTTGCCGTGGAAGACTTCTGGGATGTGATATCTTCTGTACATGCCAGCATTGGACACCTTAAAACCAGAGCAACATACAATAAGGTTATTATTGACGTTGATGTAGTGTACACAATTAGAGTATTTTTATTTTATATCCTTACAGTGCTACGCAGCATCTGCATATAATTTTGTAATGATTTTTTTACAAATTCAATTTTCAGAAAAGTATTGATTGGTATTTAATTGTATTTTATAAAATGTTGTTGTTTTGGACTTTTTGTCTAGTGATTTAAATCAGAACAGCAAAATCTGAAGAAAAAAATTACAAGCTTTTATTTTCCGCAGATAAAGGAGTCATACACCGGTGTTCCCGAGAAAGCTGTTGAGAAATACATCCAGCTCTGTTTGGACTGCCAGCTAAGCAAACAGCAGGTTGAGCAGGCACCTATTATGCCAATTGTGTCAAAAGATTTTATGGAACGCGGACAGGTAAGTAGTGCCTAATATATTCCTTTCAGGGGCTCAAGATTTAAATGTATCCCATCAACAGCATTCAATATTTTAACTGTGAACTATGCAAACTCAAATGAGCGCAAAAGAACGCCACAATCTTTATCACTCCCGTGGCACGTTTAATTTCACTCATTCACGCGTATTACAATTTAAAGAAGTACTGAATACAACTGGATCGAAGTATGCATCTAGTATAAAAAGTATAAGGGGAGGGCATATTCTACTTGACGATTTTGTAGCCTTTTCTGAAAACATCAAACGATGTGAAGAATATCGTCAACAAAATAATTAAAAGAAATATGAAGGCATGAAGAAATTCTCGATGAACTTTTTAGCTTATTCCTGTACTTTTTTTCTCAGTTGGACCTAGTGGATTTTAGTAGCAACAGTGACTGTGGATTCAAGTACGTTGCTCACTTCATAGATCATTTTTCAAAATTCTCCGTCATCTGGCCACTCCGCAACAAATGCTGCCAGGAGGTTGCGGACACTCTCAGGTACGTGGGCTACATTTCTTCACGTCATTGTCTGTATCGTTTGTAAAGGGCAATTTCACGTTTACTATGTTGCTTCGTGTTATTGGTTATATATTTTCATTAGAGAGCGTGTCTTCTGCGTCCTGGGACTTCCCCGCATATTGCACACGGACAATGGCGGGGAATTTGTAGGCCAGGCCATGGAGCTTGTAGTTAACAACTGGCCTGGAAAATGCACCATGGTGCGTGGTCGTCCCCACCATCCGCAGTCCCAAGGATGCGTTGAACGCGGCAATCGGGTGATGAAGGGTCTGATAAGGCAGCATCAAATCACCCATCAAACAAGGGAGTGGGTGCGCTTCCTTCCAGACGTGGCTTGTAAGTACTGTCAATCTTACGCTCAGATTACCCTGTGTGTCGGTTTATTTTAAACTTTCCGAAATGATCAGCGTTAATTATTTTTGACGAGTTCAAGCCAAGCAGGTACATTTGATTGTCTAAACTACAACTTCAAAATACAGCTCTCAGTCCTGGCAACAATTTTAAAATTTTAAGGTCATCTCAGAAACGTACTGCTGGTCTCTTGATTATGCGGTGTTAGGCGCTATACCGTTTCATTACTTACTTTAGCATGGCATGTTTTGTTACAGATCAAATGAACAGCATGAAACGAAGATCCATTAATCAATCAGCAATGGAGGTTGTTTTTGGATTACGCCCTGAACCAGGCCATATCTTGCCTGGCAGTCAACCTGGCGTTTACAACGAAGATGACTTGCCACAAGACCTTGTCCCGCCAAACTACGAATTGGATGGATGGGCCAACGTAGACTTGGATTCACTGGAGGTAAAATTACACCCAAAAGCATATAGTCCGTGGGCTATGGGGGGTCCCAGTGCTCTTCCCCAGAACCCACCGCCAACGATATTTTTTATCCTTGGCATGTCCCCAATGGGAAAAAAAGATGTTAAAAGTGAAAATTGAGGGATGCTCTCTCTCAGAAGCCCACTTATTGGAACCGCCTCTGCTTGAGGTTAGATTAATTTTCTTAGCAATAGGGTTGGAATGGTAAGAAACAAAACGCCAGAACCTAAGCAGACCTTGACCGATCTTAATCAAACTTATATATACACATTTATTTTGAATATATCCGAAAATTTCTCATCTTTAGTCATTACAGTTTACTGATCATATTTAAAGCCTAAACAAAAACCAACTAATTTATGATTTATAAAAATACCCGAACCTGGATTCAGCCGGACGGTCATTCAAATGTTATTACATTTTCAATTTGCCAAGGCCTAACTCTCAAATTAGTTCAACAGGAGTTGGATAATCATAAATTAGATGTTTTTTGAAGGATTTGGTGGCTTTTAATATGAACAGTAAACTGCAATGACTACAGATGAGACATTTTTGAATAGTTTTAAAAAGTAAATGTGTATATATATTTCGTTTGACTGTAGCGCCCTCTCAAGTTAGTTTCCATGACAACCAAAGAATTTTTTTTTAAAGAGCTATTCATAAAGATTAGTTGTGCAAAGTTTGATTAAAATCGATGGAGGTCTGCTTAGGATATGGCGTTTTGTTTTTTACATTTCAACCCAAGTGCTCAGAAAATGCATCTAAATTCAAGCAGAGGCGGTTCCAATAAGTGGCCTCCTGAGAGAGAGCAGCCCTCAATTTTCACTGTAACATCTTTTTTTCCTATTGGGGACATGCCAAGGATAAAAAAAATATCGGTAGCGGTGGGTTCTGGGGGGGGGGGGGGTAACTGGCACCCCCATAGCCCACGGTATATTTCCTGCTCAGCAACTTTTGTGGAATTATGTGTCTTTTTATGTGAATTCTACCGTATTCGTGCATTTTTCCTCAATTTTCTTTCCTTGCATTTTTATGTTTCCATGTAACCGAAATGAAAACCAACTTCTTGGGTAAGTAATTTATGCTTCATTACATTTATCACATGCAGGCAGATGAAACAAATCAAGAGGATAACCAAACCCCTAGAGTAGCATCCTCCGATGACCCAATCGGCGTCAGTGTAAGTTTTTGTTCCGCATTTCGTCTGTTCCATGTTCGACTGTTAGTATTATAACGTCCAAATATTAAAGACTGGATTTGTAATTCATCTGAATTCATACTTCGCTGCAACTTTCTGTTCCGGTTTCAGACGACTGCTGACCCAGTAGATGAGGTGTCATCCGATTGTGTTACACCTGACATTGAGGTATTTTGGTTTATCTCTTATAGGCCTAAGGAATTGTGTAATAACGAAAAAAAGTTTATTCAGTTTTGGCCATCACACTATCCCAATAACTGCACACCTTATAAATCGATGAGTGTAGGTGAGATAGGTGAGATGAAGTTTATTTTGTCAAATGTAGCGTACTACTGTTGCTTTCTTTTCACAAATCTGTGCTGTCAGGGTAATGACACTGGAAGAAGTGGGCGTACGCGTCAGGGAGACATGATAAGTGCATGTCGAGCCAAAGCTCGACATGCACTTAACAAACAGCGCGTACGAATGAGGAAACAAGATCGGGAGAAGAAGACAACGCAAACATACAAAGTTGGGGACTTGGTGACGGTGAAAGTCCCACCTAAAGATCGGCCGTTGACTGGCCCACGGCGGTTGATCGGTAGGGTGATTGCATCGAGGGGAAAGGAGCAGCCACGGTATCAAGTTGGGTATGTATACAATTTCTTTAGGCTTTGTCTGTTAAAGATATTGTGACTGATTTGTTTGTTAATTTTTATGGATGTATACACTCACTGGAATGCAGGCAAACTAAACGTTTCAAACAATAACATTCTTGCATTAACTTGTGGCTTATCTTCCGACATGAGTTTTGTTTAAATGGACCAAAATGCAGAAGAAACTCTATTGCAGCAACTCCGTAGATAACGTCACTTATTTTGTTTGCGATATTTGTTGGAAGAACTGAGCACGGTGTGCTATGTGGTTGGCTTGTGGGGAGTACTCTGCAGAAATATACCGGCAGTATTGACATATCCAAGTGGGATAACACTTCAAGGATCAAATTGCGAACTGCTGCCAGGAGGACAGCACCCCCGCCCATCCAGTTACCAACCATTGTAGAGGCACCCACTTTGGAGCAACATATTGCGGCTGTAATGGAGAAGGTTGGCTAGAACTGTTACTGTTTTAATTGTGTAGTTCTGTGTTACCATGATGAGTTAAAACAATAATAAGGGGTTTTCATAGAATTTCTCCCTTATTTATGACTTGTTCCATGAAGAAAACTTTTATACAAACATGAATTTTCAGGAAATTGTTTACGAGAAACATTTTCACTATCGCATAGCCCGTACGCGAATTTTATTTGCAGGGTTTCACCCGCACTTCATGTGGCGATATTCTGCAGTCATTAGAGAACGCTTCATTCGAAGTGATCTCTTCCACATCGCAAATCCTCGATCCAGCCCTTCAACCTCCAGGCAACGAGCCACGAACCTTGCAGGATCGCCAGCGAATCGGACTTCACGGCGATGGGTATTGACATTTATCTATAACTTCAGTCCTTGTAAATTTATGTGGTTTAAATGCGATGTTTAAAAAAGCATTAATCTAGAACGAAGAATATGAACAATGCTTTTTTTAAAACATCTAGTAAGAGCTGAATGGCACGAGTGCGGTGAAGTTCAGGTCAGAGCCTGTGTGAATGTGACACGAACTGAAAGATATCCGTTGTGTAGTCTGAATGCTGACAACTCTTACAAGAAATAGGCAAACTGCAATAAAGTATTTAATATCTCCCAAAGAAAGCAGCAACCCAATTCATATATTGATAACCCGCCTTTCGAAAACAGCCTTCCTCTACTTAACCAACTGGATCCGCGCACAAGACGAGTAAACTCCCATGCTCAATTACTTAAAGTAGTATTATTTAAATTACAAATACTAACTTATCTTATTGTGTTTAATCGGAAAATACTTACATGGTAACCAAAGTTGCATAATTGTATTTGTTTTCAGTGGAATTGTATACCAGTTTTAATCCATAACAATTATTTTTTTAGATTCAGTGGAGCAATTCCCTCTTACCTAAAGGGTGAGAAAAAGCTTGTTCCTGTAGAGGCCACCGGTGACAACAACTGCTGTTTACTGGCAGCTTGTTCACTTTTGCTCTGGGGCACCGAGGAACAAATCAATTTTCTGAGACTTGGTGCCACACTCAAAGGTGCCCGTTGCCTGGATTCCCTTGTTCAGAAGGTATGGGATGCTGTAAGATTATTGTTATATAAATATCGTTAATTGTGCTAATTTTGCAAAGATTTAGATTAGACAAAACTACAACCCTGCTGCTAGAGACAAGGTTGTGACAGCCAAACCGAAGTAGCCTTCACATAGGCCTAGTTTCTTTCGAAGGTTTTGAATGTTTTGTGCTTTATGATGTAGGTTCTAGACAAGCATGGCTCGGGGACTGCGGGTACTGCTGCTACTGCATGGATGGCATCTGTGACAACGGATGTCATCATGGACCACGCCATGACATTCACTGAAACGCGAGAGCGTGTTAAGTACGTCATTCAGCAGGAGATTTGCAGAAACGCGTTGCTGAATAGGGATGCTGGTGAGAAAATGTCTTTCCCCCAAAAGATACGTGATGCAGAAGTCGTGCCACGTAAATGCACACTCACACCTATATTTGTCTATATTGAGAACATGTATGCTGGTCGGTTATGTCAATATCATTACTTGTTCACTGCGTTAAATTTTCTCATTCTTTATTGTCCTTTGATACTTTATTTTAACTCCAGGGCCCTTGCAGGTGGAACTCCTGAGCATGTTTCTGGGTCGTGCCATAGAAGTGCACTGTGTTTCGGGGCCGGGTGCGTACGGTACGGCAGCAGAAGGAGACTTCCCTTTTGATCGTCTCCAACTCCTTCTATTGCCCTACAGAGCTGGTGGACAGCAACCAAACCACTTTGTTCCTCTGGTTCCCATGACGCAAGAGGAACAAACTGCTTTGAATAGATGCGGGGCAAAGCAGTTTCAACTCTGCCAGTATGACGGGCTGCCCCCATGCCCAGCAGGAGGAGTGGGATGGCTTGCATGCGATATCTGCCTGCAGTGGTACCACTCCTCTTGCGTCGGGGTTACCCAAGACGCGGCCAGGCAGATGAGCAGTTTTTCATGTGGATGCAGTGTCAAGCGGCCGTACACATGTAAACAGTAAGTATACCATGCAGTTCATCATTTCTCTGCTTTGAATTGGCAGTATAACACGGTTATGTCCATAAAGCCCGATGTATGGTTTTGTCTTCACAGAAAGAAGCTGTACTGTCAAAAAGAGGCGGGTCCGATCATTGCTGAGCTGTTAAAATTAGATCCTGAGGTAGGAATGTACACATATTTCAATTTACGAAACTTGCGAGAAAGTGGGGGAAAATGAAATAAAACGCGACATGTAGATTTTGGGGACATTCTTCATTAATGTTTAATTTACAGACGAATCACGAACTCGATACTCGTCATTATTAATTTTAATCGGATGCGATGAACAAAGCAAGCATTTTTACTGCATTGCCTGTAAATTGCAAGAACACTCAGGCCAAAAAAATAAAATAAATAATCGGTCTCTGGTCAGACCGAAGTTCCTGAATTGATGCGGCGACGCGGTTTTTTTTTTTTTTGGTGGCTTTTTTTTTTCAAGCTTGAATTGTACAGGCAAGGTGGGTACTATTTTGCTTTTTTTGTGTCCTTTATACATTGGTGTCCCCATAATTTGCCTTGGTGCCCTTTATCATTTGCCTTGGTACAATTTCCCCATTCCTTGGTGCTCCTTGGTACAAAAATTTGAGGAGGTGCGGCAATAGAGGGCGCTGTTGTAGCTTCCGTGTTAATTTGAAGAAAAAAAAAAGGACGCGCGTGATTAAAATCTACGCGCGCGGTCACCAGAGACCGAGTACTTTTTTGGAAGGCCTTATCACTGACACAGAAATGCTGATGATAAAATTCAATTGTCAAGGAAGTAATTTTTTTAGTAGCTCTACTCATAGACACGACTAAAACATGTTCTCGTGATTTTTTTTTTTTTTGGGGGGGGGGGGAGAAGGGGGCTCTGGCTAAGCAGGAATGAAAGTATAGGTCAGAGTGGCTATTACTTTGGTGTCATACATGTATCAACGGTTCTGGCTGGAAATTGTCATTGCATGTACATTCACTAATGCAATTAAAATTATATATACTAAAAGCAAGTACGAATTTTATAATTTTCCAAATACTTTGTCTAAAAGGAATTATTTTGTGTTTCGGTCTAGTATAAAAAAGGGAACAAATGATCTCAGTTTACTGATTGATATTTACTGCTCATGTTGACTGGCCTCCATTTTCATTGTCTTTTGATCTGTTACAATCCAGTCAATAGTGCAGAATACATTGAATGGGACCTACAAATCAAGGAGGAGACGACTTATGATGACAGGCTCTGCCGAAGACAAGCAGAAATTGATTTACGGAAACATGTCTGCCATGCAGATTTTTCAAGATGATGACGTGGTATGTATTTATCACAATAAATTAAGATTCTGCAGCACAGCACATTGGTAATACTGACAACGAAAATGCTTATGAGGGATTGTTCTTCTCTATAACTTAAAATATGACGGTATTCTAAGCCTCTACAGGGTGTCTCTCTCCATACAATTTTGTTTTACCTGATCATGTGAAAACATCCAAGATATCAATGGAAAGTTTACCCCCAATTCATTATCAAACAAAAATAATGGTCATAAATTCCATAGTTTGTTCATATCCCTTTTATAAATTGGACGTATTGTATGATACAGTGACATATCTTATTAGAAATAGAGAAGAACCACATGCGACGAGAGACCTTTCACCATGACCCCTTTTAGTTTAATTATAGTTAATAAGGTTCAATATTGCAATATCTGTGTGATCAGTGCGCTGCTAAAATAAATAACCAGTTTATTGATTGCCTTTTTAATAGCCAGACGGCCATGGATATGGGATATTGCTTCCTGGCGCTTATCAAACACTCGCAATAATTAGGCACAGGGTATTTTCAAGATTGTTATAGTTTGCCGAAGTTCATAAAAGATTGATATAGGCCTAAAACATATCTTTTTGCTTTTTTTATACAGGCGATAAAGGTGATGAGGTATCTACACAGATTTGCACCAACAGAATCTGCTAACACACTGCTGTATGTCTTTGTACATGAGGTGCGCATTTAAATCCAACATTATTTGCGTAAAAAAAATGTTATTACAAATGATGCAGAAAGGCAGAAAAATTAATGAGACCCCGTATTATGTATTTCTTGATTCAAGGTCCTGATATGTTTCATGATGAAACAGGAAACGCTGAACCGACTGCAGGCGGAGCTGGTTCTGTCGGATGGCCTCCAGTTACGAGACGCAGACACACCAGCTCATGTGCTGGACCATTCATATACCTAGCATGGGTAGGGTGTGATGTAGAGGTAACATACCAAATTGCCGCAGTATGTATGAAATTCAACTCTGGGTCACAGGATACTTTGGTCACAAATATAGTATAATTTCACACATCATGAGAATTAATTTCGAAGTGATTAGAATTGAATCTCTGAATCTAATCATATAACAAAATTTGTCATTCGAGAAATTGTAATGATATGGTATTTTCTTCTGCCAATGAATTGCCAGCATTTTTGCAGCGATTTTCTGCCGAATCCTGTAATTGTATAAAGATTACTTATTTTGTTACGCCGAAACTTGTACAAATAACTTGCCAAAGTGAACGTCAATCAGATTTATGAGCACAAATATGACCAGAAAATTAGTGTCTTTGCAGCAATTTATACCGAATCCGGTAACTGTAGGAAGATTTCTGATTTCGTCACGTCGAAACTTGTAATTTGTAAGTTTTTTTTTACGATTTTTTCAGCCAAGTACAAATAACTGGCCAAAGTGAACGTCAATCAGATTTATTAGCACAAATATGACCAGAAAATTAGTGTGTTTGCAGCGAGATATACCGAGTCCGGTGAATGTAAGAAGATTTCTAATTTCGTCACGCCAAAACTTTTGCAGCGATTTATACCGAATCATGTAATTGTATATTATGAAGATTACTAATTTCGTCACGCCGAAACTTGTAATTTTTAAGTTTTTTTACGATTTCTTGAGCCAAGTACAAATAACTCGCCAAAGTGAACGTCAATCAGATTTATTAGCACAAATATGACCAGAAAATTAGTGTGTTTGCAGCGATTTGTACCGAATCCTGTTATTGTAGGAAGATTTCTAATTTCGTCACGCCGAAACTTGTAATTTGTAAGTTTTTTAACGATTTCTTCAGCCAAGTACAAATAACTTGCCAAAGTGAACGTCAATCAGATTTATAAGCACAAATATGACCAGAAAATTAGTGTGTTTGCAGCGATTTGTACCGAATCCTGTTATTGTAGGAAGATTTCTAATTTCGTCACGCCGAAACTTGTAATTTTTAAGTTTTTTACGATTTCTTGAGCTAAGTACAAATAACTTGCCAAAGTGAACGTCAATCAGATTTATAAGCACAAATATGACCAGAAAATTAGTGTGTTTGCAGCGATTTGTACCGAATCCTGTTATTGTAGGAAGATTTCTAATTTCGTCACGCCGAAACTTGTAATTTGTAAGTTTTTTAACGATTTCTTCAGCCAAGTACAAATAACTTGCCAAAGTGAACGTCAATCAGATTTATTAGCACAAATATGACCAGAAAATTAGTGTGTTTGCAGCGATTTATACCGAATCCTGTAATTGTAGGAAGATTTCTAATTTCGTCACGCCGAAACTTGTAATTTTTAAGTTTTTTAACGATTTCTTCAGCCAAGTACAAATAACTTGCCAAAGTGAACGTCAATCAGATTTATAAGCACAAATATGACCAGAAAATTAGTGTGTTTGCAGCGATTTGTACCGAATCCTGTTATTGTAGGAAGATTTCTAATTTCGTCACGCCGAAACTTGTAATTTGTAAGTTTTTTAACGATTTCTTCAGCCAAGTACAAATAACTTGCCAAAGTGAACGTCAATCAGATTCATAAGCACAAATATGACCAGAAAATTAGTGTGTTTGCAGCGATTTATACCGAATCCTGTAATTGTAGGAAGATTTCTAATTTCGTCACGCCGAAACTTGTAATTTTTAAGTTTTTTACGATTTCTTGAGCTAAGTACAAATATCTTGCCAAAGTGAACGTCAATCAGATTTATGAGCACAAATATGACCAGAAAATTAGTGTGTTTGCAGCGATTTGTACCGAATCCTGTTATTGTAGGAAGATTTCTAATTTCGTCACGCCGAAACTTGTAATTTGTAAGTTTTTTAACGATTTCTTCAGCCAAGTACGAATAACTTGCCAAAGTGAACGCCAATCAGATTTATTGATACATATATGACCAGAAAAAAATAGTATCTTGCAGCGATTTGTACCGAATCCTGTAATTTTAGGAAGATTTCTAATTTCGTCACGCCGAAACTTGTAATTTGTAACTTTTTTAAAGATTTCTTCAGCCAAGTACAAATAACTTGCCAAAGTGAATGCCAATTGGATTGACAAGCAGCCATTTTCCCCCCGAATCCTGTGAATGTATGAAGATTACTAATTTCGTCACGTCGAAACTTGTAATTTACATATTTATTAAAGAATTCTTAATTTTAGAATTGTTTGAATATCAAATTGGATGTATGAACATATTTCTGATAGGACAATTATTTTTTTGAATGAATTGAAACCGAATCCTGGAATTTTATTAATTTAGTATTTCTAAGTTAGTTACAGCCAAGTGAATGTCAGTTGCACTCATAAGCACTCATAAGTAACTGAATCAATTTGAAGCGATTTAAACCAAATCCTGGAATTGTATTAAGATTACTAATTTCGTCACGTCCAAACTTGTAACTTACAATTTTGTTATACTATGTTTGCCTTTAACCAAGTCCAAATAACCTGCCAAAGTGAATATCAATAAGATTTATAAGCACATATAGGGGGCCCATGACCAGAAAATGATTCGTGAAGCGATTTAAATCAAATCCAGGACAATGTCGTCATGCCGAAACTTATAATTTTTTTTTTATATTTCTTCGGCAAGATACAAATTACTTGCTTTAGTAAATATCAAATTAAATGGATGACCACATTAGGAACATTATTAATTTGATGTGATTGAAACCACATTTCGTCTCACCTAAACTTGTAATCTATACATTTTGTTGAATTTCTTGAGCCAAAAGATCGCATACAGACCCATAGGCCTTGCAGGACACGGCTTTATACGTCCTGAGCAGAGGACGGGTGGTCTAATTATAATGAACTAAAATAAAGGGGTCTTGATGATGTGAAGCTTCCAATATTATTGTAATTCCCTGTTATTTTAGTGATATATGATTTTTTTAAATTACCGATAAATACATGCAATGACTCCTGAACATAATGTCTTTGAGAAATAAATTGCTTCATCACAGTGATGGCAAGTTCAACCCAAATGGTGCTCACACCGCGAGAGTCAAGTATTAGTAGAGCCATGTTGTGTTTTTTTTCTTGTGGTTTAAAATTTGAATGCACTTATGTTAGTAACTAAGTACCATTGTTGAATTGCTCGGTATTTGGAGTTAAAGATGCACGTCTTGCCAAGCTGATTCCGAGTTTCGTCCCGAAAAAAAGTTGGCAATACAAAAACTAATAACTATGGAAATAATTTTAATTATTTATACCCGTGGACAGTACGTTTTTAAGCATACAAGAACACATTGTCCCTGTTTTGCCGCAGGTCATAACCGTTTCAAATGCCAACATTATGAAAAAAAATAATGAAAGGATACAATTAAGAATCCATTGTTGTTGTTTGCATGTTACACTGTCTTTATCATTTGCATATTTTAGTGTTTTGTTTAGGTATTAACAACTATGAAATATTATACAAAGGATGAATGCTTCGAGTGGTTTAGCCTCCGAGGTGATCCATTCAAATTCTTTTTTTCCCCCGACTCGAAGCCGAGGGAAATAGTTGTTTTATTTTTTATATTCTTTGTAGTCTAGTTGTATACGCCCAGGGACCACATCACGGGCTATACCCTGAAGATCCGAAATAAACAAATAAGAATGAAATGCAGATTGGTCGGCCTTCACATGTACTTATTATTTGTTTTATCTTGTTTGTATAATTAAGTTGTTTGTTTTCTGGTCATATTTTTTTCCATTCGATTTATGCTTTATGTTTATGCTCTTGTGTTTTCCCTTCATGTTATGTGTAATCTTATAATATCGTTTTGAGTCGAATAATAATAAAAATAGTAATGATAATAATAATGACCTTACGGTCACCCTGATCCGCATCCGAAACAATTCCATAACTAACCACATGCCGAAACACAACCTAAGACTACTCCATTCATGATCATAGCGCGCGTTCAAGGCCAATAACATGACAAGAAACAGATGGCACTTATTCCCCTGCCACGCATTCCAGGCTCCCCGCGCCCTGGCCTGCCACGCCTGTCGCGCGCCACTAACATGATTATACCGCCCCCACTTTGCCGTTAAAAGCATCCATTTGATACGTATCATGGCGTCGTAACACCGAATCTCAAGATCCGATACCGAAACTTGGAATTCCAAGTTTCGGTGCTCGGATTTCGAAATCCGGCGGATAACAAGATTCGGTGCAACAGTGGAGCCGCAGAGAATTGCGCCCTCTATCGGTGCGCGTCTCTGCAACTCCGCGACTCCGCGCCTCCGCCACTCCAGACAGTGCCCCGTCGCCCTCCTCCCTTCCTAATTTGCGTGCCCATTTAAAGCGATTCTGCGACTCCAAGACTCCGCGCCTCCGCCACTCCAGACAGTGCCCCGTCGCCCTCCTCCCTTCCTAATTTGCGCGCCCATTTAAAGCGATTCTGCGACTCCAAGACTCCGCGCCTCCGCCACTCCAGACAGTGCCCCGTCGCCCTCCTCCCTTCCTAATTTGCGCGCCCATTTAAAACGGGTATGGATGCTTCGTTCTCAAAAAAATTCCGCCGAGAATTGCGCCCTCTATCGGCGCGAGTCTCTGCGTCTCCGCGACTCCGCGCCTCCGCCACTAGCACTGCGGCCACTCCAGTGCCCCGCGTCTCCGCCACTCCAGACAGTGCCCCCAACACATTTACAAGCACGCCCTCCCTTCCGATCCTTCATGAGAAGCTTAGAAGACAAGTGCATTCCTTCGCTGTACTTAGCACTTTTTGCAGGTTTGCAGTATTACTCCTATTCCATCCACGCCTCCAGGCAAAATAAAAAACCTTGCTTCGGCGTGGCCCTGCATTCTATAGTTGCTCCCGCATGACTGTCCTGCAATTCTTTTCGTCCTCCAGGAATTTCACTGTCAAAAAGCTCTGCTAATCTGGACATTTTGACAGCAAAATGTCTGACCTCAAGTCACGCTTTGGTACTTCCGCATAATATACCAAGTCTTCGGTGGTGACCTGCAACGGGCGTTCCATCCAAAGTGTGTGTGTCTATTCGGATGGCAGGGTACCAGGTATATTTTATATGGGTACGTAGCCTCCTTACCGGGCGTGTTTATATATGTTTCGTATTAAAGTGGGGTCGTGGGAAAAAATAGGTCACCGGCTTACATTTTTTCCCGACTGGTAAAAAATAAATATTTACCCCTTTCATTCTAGATTTTTTTTGCTAATTTCGCTCTATTTCTTGGGGAAGCTTATTCTTAGATGCATCGGCGCAATAAGATTTTTTTCTGGTGGGATGCGAGTGGTTGGATGTTGTATAGGTTTGGCAATAATAGTTTGCTGGGTCGATGGATCATGTGGAGATGCAAAATTTTAGGGGGAAATGTAGGCCTACATTTCCTGTTTGTGACCAAGGACTCAAGTTCATGGTCCCCTCCTTGCAATGTAGCCTATATACCATGGGCGTCAATCCTGGGGGGGGGGGGGGGGGGGGGGAGAAGGGGGACATGTCCCCCCCCCCCACACTTTTTGAAGGTGGGGGACACAATATCAAATGTCCCCCCCCCCCCAGACTTTTGAACTCGTGCCTCATTTACAGGGCCCTATTATGTACTACAATGTATCTTTTGCCTCAGAAATTGCCTCACATCGCACCACAGAGCATTTAGAATCCAACATTTTTCGGGGCCCTCAGGCCCCGAACCCCACGCCTTTAGCTTAGAATATAATAGCTTATTCAATGAGGCAACCTCGAAAATGATTTTGAAATTATTATCTTTTGCTTAGAAAATATTGGTTAAAGAGATCAGAAATTGCTTCAGATCACACCACATGAGCATCTATCCCTAGCCCTGAAGCGGGCCCCGAACCCCACGCTGTAAGGGCTTCGCACTTCGCGCTTGCATTATTTCTGATCAAGGTATGCCCCCCCCCCACTTTTGAGAAGCGATTGACGCCCCTGCTATATACCATCGTTCCTATCAATATCATTTATTACGTCAGACTCACTAGTTTGAAGACAGTCTTCTTAAAGGGTGGGGTGTGAACTCTTGTATTTCTAGAAAGCTTGACCATTAACCAGATATCATTTCGAAATTCGAAAATAGCACGGGTCAAACATGTCATTGACATGTATAATTATGTAGACATACGCGTCATATATTATTGTATTCTTTGTGGTGGCTATTGGAAATACGCCTGTAGGTAGCCTCAAAATGAATGGTTTAGTATTATTTTCATTACGAGCTCAAATCTGACGACAATTATAATAATGCACCATCGCGCACTGCATGCAGTCGGTATAGACCGAAAATAAAAGAAAACTTTTGGTAAAGATGGATGTCACTTTATATTCACAATGGAATGAGTGGTTTACTCTCAGTCTCCGTAGTGGGTGAAAAGAGCAGTGGTGGAACCAGAATTCCGGGGGACCGGTGGTTTTAAGCTTATTTTCAGGTGGAATGGTGGTTGATGGGTATACGTTGTAGTCAATTAACACACAGAAAATAATGAAGTAATGAATAACTGCAACTGTGGTATTCAGTGACCTGGGAAACGTGTTTTTTTTCCAATATGTAAATAATATTAACATTGCTCAGTCGGGGGGGGGGGGGGGGGGTGGGGGTTGCATGCTCAGCTCAGTGAAAACAATAATGTCAAGTTTCTTTGTGGCGTGCGTGTGCTTGAAAAAAACTTAATTACTGAGCCGGTGTCATATGAAAATCAGACTCGTATGAAAATAGGACTCTTTTTTTCCTTTTATTGGTTAAACCCTCTCACGTGACCGGTCCGTCTCCTAATTATCTATGCATAAGCATGCGTAATATTTCATAAAACCTAAATTCATGCTACACCGGTTTCGATAATACACAGGGCGGGGCGAGTTGGCCAGCATTTTATCCACCGCCTTAAAGGGGCATTATACTGCTTGGCTTCGTCTCGTGAAATAGAAAAGTCCAGATTTTACCTTGCGATAATATTCCTCCAATTCCACTCTGTATACTATTCAATGCAGCGCACACGTTGTGTTTATGGAACACGTCCGCAGAATGCGAACCCTGTGTGGCCGGACGGATGATCAGCTCGATTTTTCGGGGATTTTGACATTTTTTAAATGCTCTTTCTATTCATCAATTTGTTTAAAACACGTTTTGTAGCCCGCTTTGGCGCATTGGGCCGGGAATGTTTAAAGGAAGTTACCAACATTGTAAGAACCAATGCCTCACTGACATGCCAGTAATTTTCAGGGGAAATTTTTGGGGAAGTTTACTCGAAATGGCGCACGATATTAACAGGGTAAGCCGTGGCTCGCGTATGGGTGCATGCACACCAGTAAATAGGCCAAAATCCATCCGCCGAGTTCGTGAATAAAAGTTATACCCTCAAAATATTCTATATTAGAGAGTTTTGAGCGCCGTAAAATTGGGGGAATTGAAGAGATATATGGTAATGAACCTCTGGCCCGGACTTGGGGCTTCCAATTCTGAGCGTTTTGGATGCTATTGGGCTCGAAAGTGGCGCTATATTGCCATGTTGTGGAGGAATCGTTTTTCAAGATGGCTACTTTTCCACTTTGGGGGAAATAAGGGTCGTCTTCTTTGGGTGAGAATGTCTAGAAAGTCAATGGTCAACCCACCAAAAATGAAAAGAAAACGAAAGATGATATGTTGATCATCCATTATTCTGTGCAGCTTGAATACCTGTGAGAGTTCTGAGTATATTTTTAAAAGAATTTTGAATTATGGGCATTTAGCACTAGTGTCTATGGAAAATTATTTGCAGGGTTGCATCCGTATGGAGGAAGTCCAGTATCTGATCAGACAACATAATCACGGGCTATGCTTGTCCGGTTGGTATTATAGGCAACATTGGTATACCGCGTGATAGCAATCGCTATGGGGAAATATCGTTTTTCCGTTTTCGGTTTCCTTTCCTTTCTTTGCTTGTCAGTCATGTACAATGTATAACCATTTTGAACACACCTGAAGCTGGTCTTTCTTTATAGGCCTAAAAGTAAATGCATTCACGTGTGGCCAATCGTGGACCAATCGGGCGTCATACTAGTAACATTTGTCCATTGCCAATCGTGATCAAACTGTGAAATCGCGCGGTGTTTGTTAGGTTCTATTCCATTCTCCTTGAGTCTTTGGGGTTCATGTATTTCCCTATCACATTAGCATTGCAGCGGTTTCTATGGAGTGACATAATAATAGGCCCACACCACGTACTTCGAACTTGAACTTCGGTTTATCGACTACATGCAGTGGCGCAGCCCTCAGCTCATCAGACACTATAGGTGGTCCGCGATTTGTGTTCACTAGGGCCGTTCACCGGGCCGGTAGTGCCGGAGACGCGCAAGGTATGTATATACAGTACTATAGGCCTATCGCTTTTAATCTTTTGGCTAACTTAATTCACTTGTATTAAGGCCAAAAGCTGAAGTGAGAAGAGAAAAAGGAACGGATATTTTCCCCATTTGCTTTCCCAAAGCCTTTTTTTGTTTCCATTGGAAAATCACCATGACCCTTCAGAACGCAATTTCGACTAAATAAGTCTATAATGTTTGTACGATCACTAGCGCAGAGCTCTGTTGTGGGTCATCCGGCGATATTTTTTGGTCTCGTTTTGAGTCATAAATCATCCGGTACATATTGATCGTTGATGGCTGGCGTTGGACGATCAAAACAAACCCTCAAAATAATGCGTAGGCTATAGACAAAGTTACAGTTTGTTTACAAATTGGATGATGTGGTCACGTGATATACCAATACCTTTCAGCGAACTCAGTCTCCACTGCGCCGAATGTGTATCACTTGAAATGTGATTGATGTACATGTGGTGTTGAGAATTTAATTTGAGAAACTGTTTAGTGTGGACAAAATAACGTAAAAAAAATATTTAATATGTTTGGGTTGCATGTCGGTAATTGCTCGTTGGTTTGACGCCACAGGTAATTACCGTGGTCTATGGGCCTACGCCTAGCTGTCATGCGCAACAACAAAGACGTACATGTTCATGTGACCCGGTTTGTTTGTATTTCAATGGAATTTGATCTGTAGGGTGCTGCTTCCGGGTTCAAGTCATTACAAGATTGCCATTAAAAATGATTCACTACAGCTATAATGATGAAAAGTCGTCCATGTAAGCGCACCAGTTACCTAGTTTTTCCGCCGCCTGGACGGATACCTGTTTGTTCTGATGGTTTGAATTGAGTCGGCATTTCAACATTTCACATCTGTCCTGTTTATCCCGATTATTGTTATTATTAGTTAATGAAATTCGTTTTACCCTTTCTACATTCTACCCTTTCTACATAAAGATACATTTAAGCCTACAAAGCAGCACGGTCTAAATCGACAATGATGAAACTCGCAGCAATATGTTGTCTTCTGGTATTGACAGCCTTGACAACGGCCTCTACGTCCCAAGGGACGGATGCCCCTGGTTCTTCATACGATGGCTCGCTGTTAATTGGTGCCTTCAACATCCGAGTATTCGGAATCAGTAAAGTTGGTAAAGTTCACGTATTGCAGACGTTAGTTAAGGTTAGTAAAGTGTCGCACACTTCGTGACGCCTAGAACTTATTAATTGTGTGTTAATTCTTTAATATGTTTACAGCATTAATTTAATTTCTTTCCATTTAAATATACAATGTATAGTAAAGGATATTTATTACCATAGATATTTTGGTGAAATGCATTAATCGCTATATGCTGGATGACCTGTTAAAATGGATACATGTCATTTTACGTATTTTTTTCGCAGATTTTGAAGCGATATGACCTTGTGTTGATTCAAGAAATCCGTGATAGGTTTTGTACGGCAATTCGCACACTGCTTGACACTCTGAACTCGTAAGTGTAAAAAAATGCTCTTTGCTATATACACATTAATGTTACAGTGTAATGGAGAAAAGTGCCGTTTTTAGTATTTCAAGATTTTGGTGCCTTTTACAAAAGGTTATTGTACATGTAAAAGTCGAAATAGTTCAGAACAGTGTACTGTATTAAAAAAAGTGAAGAATATTTATCATTGCTCATAAGATTATGACGACTTTTAGCCAGTGTTCTGTTGAAGAAGTTTCCTCAGTGTATGACTGCGTAATTAAAAGAGTGAACTTAGGGGTATAAGGCCAAAAAAGTCTCAGGTTTCTGGTATGGAGCTTGCCCAAAAAGTGGTGCGGCGACGCGGCTTTTTTTTTACAGGTTTTTTTTCTGCAAATGTCGGCTGATGACTGCAAATGGTGCCCGACTAAACTTAGTGCAAATATATGGGAGTCCAGAGAGGCCACATGAAGCATATTCTCGATCGTAACCCCATCTAAAAACACGTTAAAATTGTGCAGCAGCAGGATTCCAGTCAAACCAGTGAGTTTGGCAGTTTTGAGGCATCATCTTTCATTGAAAAAAAAAACAACCCTTTTTCATTTTGCCGACGCGCATTGCTACGGCGACGCGCGCGCATACCAGAAACCAGAGATTTTTTGGCCCAAAGTTGTGGAAACCTGAAAACATTAAACTTATATTTCCCCAACTTCTCATCAGGGAGGTCGAGGACAAATATGAGATGGCCTTGAGCAGTAGACTCGGACGTACACGGAACAAAGAGCAGTATGCATACTTTTACAAGTAAGATTCTAAGATTTTTTTATTTGCCTTTTGATATTATGACCATTCCATTTGTTGGCATCGTAATCATGTCTGCCAGTGTTTTAGTGTTACTTTGTGAAGCCTGTTAATTGTTGGTCATCCTTTTACAGCGAAACCCAAATGCCAGGACCATTTTTTTCAGTGAAATTCTGCATGTAGCACTTTCAAAATAGATGAAAGCACAATTCATAAGCTTTCTTTTAGTACAAGAATCGTTCAAATCATTCATGTACTTTTCAAATGTTAAACACAATTAACACCGTTTTGAAGTTCTGTCCACGGATCACCCCCCCCCAAAAAAAAAACCAACGAAAACAACTCAACAATATGATCTTTGTATGTGAAATGTTTCAAATTTCTTACAATTCCGTGACTTGAAAAGTACATGAGTGATTCGAATGATTCTTGTACTAAAAGAAAGCTTACCGTATTCGGCTTCATCATAGTCTAGATTTTGAAAGTGCTGCGTAACAGAACTTCACTAACAAAATCGTTCCGACAATTGGTTTTCGTTATTTATTTTACTCACCCTCTACTGAACGATTCTGTGCGCATATTAATATACATCAGAAGTGTCAACCCGGTTGACCAGGTAACAGTTCGTCCAGTGAGAGCACCAAAAAGGTCAACCCCGGGTCCATCATGATCCGGTTAAGACATTATATGGCCAGCACCCTTAGGGAGGTACTATTGCGCAGGCTTGAATAATCTCCACATAATTATGTTCATCTTTCAGGCCGAGTCGGCTAACTTTGCTTCGGAAATACGTCTACGATGACGACAGTGAAGATAAATTCGAGCGGGAACCGTTTGTTGCTTATTTTGAGTCGCCGACAACTGGTAAGATCAAGAACAATAATCAGGGTCGCGGTCCCCCAAATCACGCTGAAAGCAAGCAAAGCAATAAAGTTTCCCTGTTTGTTTTACCAGAAAAGAAAAACTGTTGTAATGTTTGCAAAAGTTGCGAGGATAAACACATTCCTGAACAGGTCACCGATTTCTATCTGAATGTGCGAAACTGTAGGCTAGTTGGTCCTAGACTATTATTTGAATTTGATATTTCTCATACCGTTCATTGACATGCGCGGTAAAGCCTGCACGGGAAATTCAGAGCATACCTCACGACTCACGTGCGCTGTATTCATGCTTAACATGTGCGTGAGGAATTTCCTGGCCGCTGCCGAATTTCTCAAGATCTTTCGATAGCGACCTCTACCATCGTTGCAAATCTGGTCCAGTCTGGAACTGGTAGCGTCTTGGCAAAAGACGCACTGCACAGTGTCGGCTCAAAGTGGCGCTGTATTATATAGGCCCATATAAAGTTCGATTTTTGGCTTTTTTGTTTGTTTGGTGTTTTGGGGTGTTTGTCTGTTTGTTTGTTTTTTATTGGTTACCATATTCCAATTTGGATCAGGATATTCTGTGTATGAAGCCCGTATATTGTTACAAGTTTGCCGTCCCCAGGGACGGAGATGAGGATTCAATGATAAAATACAAATAATGGACACTCTTTACGATTACAGCCATGGAACGCTTCGCAATGATCGGTGTACATATCAAACCGGATATCAAGGAAGCGGTGGCGGAACTCGACCACCTTGTCCATGTCTATGATGACTACGTGAACAAGTCTGCAGGCAATACGGTATGTTTGGAACACAACAGCCATTATTCAGGACTTGTTAATCATTCGTCACACTATGACCAATTTGCTTGAAACCATTTTCATCCGAAAAAAGTCGACAACGTGATTTTTTTAATGATTTCTTTTGAAAATCTGATTCATACTCGTCAGTCGTATAGCCATTGCTTTTTCTCAAAATAGTTTTGACGGTCCTTTTTGTACCATACCTGACTAAAATGACTGTCACTTAGAATGTGACTGGTTACATATCTCACTGAACGTCTGTCACTTGTGATTACACTTGTCTGGCCGCAGCTTTATAGGTGATCTATACACCGCGTGTGTATTAGTCTGGCGCCGCTTGTTTCGTGTACTCCATGATGATACATTTTGTGTGTACATGTAGTCAAGTCTCCATGCGAACGGCAGAAGTGTATTTTCACCTCCATCATAACGTTATCACTACACAGCCCATTCTACAGAATTTTAATCATTATAAATCAATTAAATAGCTTTTTTCGCGCTCAGCTAGCTTTACCAGGCTTTTATTATTTCTCGATAAATGTCATTTGATTATGTAACACCCATCCTCCTGAGGACGCGAGCACACTGCCCGAAACGTCAAGTTCTCCACTCTACCAACCGGTTCTTTTCAGAACCACACTTCTTCCAAGAAGAGATTACGTTCCACATGGTGTTACCCGCAGATCTGTACTTTAACGATTGTTAATTTAACAACAAAAGGTCCGAAATAAAGTTCTTCTGTTTTGGTAATCACTGTTATGCAGAATGCCATCATTGCTGGTGATTTTAATGCCGACTGTCGATACGTCTCTAAGACCGCCCTGAAGAACTCCCTCTTGCGATCGGACATGCGATTCCGTTGGATTATTCCCGATGACGCAGATACAACTGTTGCCGCTTCAGATTGTAGTTATGATCGGTATGAGTGTAAATATTGTTATGGTATTCCAGGTTTGCATTACAGTGTGCACCAACGGAATGCTAGACCTAGAATGTGTAACCAACATAAATATATGGTTTGAAAGATACGCCTTGATCCACTTTAAATGAGACAACAAACGTCCAAATCTGATAACTTTTGACAAAGTTATGAGTAATTTTCCAAGAGAGGTCAAATTTACCATGGGACCAAGTTTTCAATTGTAGGCATTGGAGAATAGCCTCTGCGTGGATAATAATGCCTGGCCTACAAAAAATGTGTTTAGCGAGTAAACACAATAAATTCTAAACACTTTTTGCTATCTGTTTGTAAACATGTTTACACGCTATACATTTGTAGCGTGAGGTGATAGCGAGAAAGTGTTTAGAATTGTTTTACTCGCAAAACACATTTTTGTAGGGTATATAGCAAATATCCACCCAGAGGCAATTAGCTATACCTTTGTCACATGTCTAAAATTTAAACCTTGGCCACTTTGACCTCTCTTGGAGAATTACCCATAACTCTGTCAAAAATTATCAGATTTGGACGTTTGCTGTCTCAGTTTAAAGTGGAAAGGCGTATCTTTCAAATCATACCTACATTATCTATATTGAATACACATTTGGGCAGATCCACTCTTCGGCAGTGCAAGTATCTGCGCTCCCCCCCCCCCCCCGCGTCAGCCTTGAGGTAAAGGTACAGCTTGCTCAGGCCCTAGTCATATCAAGGGTACTGTATGGTGCCACCACCCTGTCGTTGAAGGCAGCTGACATCAAACGCCTAGACAGTTTTGGCCGAACCATTTGGCGTCACCTGCTCAACATCAAGTGGCAAGATCATGTGACAAATGAAAGACTGATGGAGATGATCGGCGACCGGTGGTGCTTCAGCAGTAGCACTGTGATGGAACGAAAGGCAGCATGGTTGGGCCATGTGGTTCGGCATGGCGGCAGCTGTTGTGGATGGGATGCCAGTGGGATGTCGTCGCTCCGTGGGCCGGCCAAAGATGCGCTGGGTGGACAACATCCGTGAATGGTCTGGGTGTGACACCAACGAACTGAAAGCAGCAGCACTGGAAAGACGGGCTGTGGTGGGAGTGGCGCCAGTGATCCCAACTGTGTATAATTTGAGGAGGAGACCACGGGCAAATGCCTATGTCTAACGAATGAATGAATACACATTTCTACGTCTGGCATTCCGTTATATTTTGCTTGCATTTTTTATGCACAATGTATAACGTTGCTTCTATATAGTTAATTTATGGCTTGTGACGTAAAGAATACAATTTTAGTATATCTAAAAAAAAAATCGTAATTTTGGTAACCTCCAGACGGCGAGAACTTGCCTGAGGATCAGATATTCATGTGTGCATGAGCCACGGTAAGGCCAAAAAAAAAAATAATAAGTCGGTCTCTGGTCAGCGCGCGCGTCGATTTTAATCCTGCGCGTCAATTTTTTTTCCAAAATGTTCCGCGGTAGCTCCAACAGCGCCCTCTATTGCTGCACCTCCTCAATTTTTTTTACCAAAGAGCACCAAGGAATGGGAAATTGCACAAAGGCAAATGATCGAGAGCACTAAGGCAAATTATGGAGGACACCAATGTACATGAGGACACCAAATAGCAAAATAGTACCCCACCTTGTCTGTACAATCCAAGCTTGAAGAAAAATAAAAAAGCCAAAAAAAAAAAAAGCCGCGTCCCCGCGTCAATTCCGGAACTTTGGTCTGACCAGAGACCGAACATTTTTTTGGCCTAACATTCAAATTTTATGCGACCCCGCGCGCCAGCCAATGGGACTCTAAAAACTGTGAGGTCACTTCGATCAGAAATGTGGACTAAGCTGTTGATTGGTCAAGTTCACTGCAAAACTGCAGTGTTAAATTTACACTGTTGGTATTTATATAGGACCATCTGGTGTTAAATTTTACTGGTGTTGTCCTATATAGATACCGAATGGTGTTAAATTAACACTACAGTTTTTGCAGTGTTGGGGGCCATGTTTTGATAAAACAACAACAACGGGTTACGGAAGACCAAATATATACAAGGCGCCCGCTGAATGGTCAGAATCCCGAGGTCAAGACGCAGTCTTGTTTTGCGTATTAATCTGCTCACATTATCATATACCCTTGTTGTGCAATTCCACAGACCAACGAGAATGCACTGTCGGGGGAGATAACTAAATTACGTCATCCTGCTGTTGACCAATCCATAAACAGTAAAAACACGTTTCTCTCTGTCTCATACTCTTTTTAGAATTGTCCTTGCCGGTGACGATTTATTTGACAGTTACCAACAAAATAGAGCTGGTGTGTTTTACTTTGATAGAGAATATCATCTGGACATAAACATGGTAAGAACTCGCTCGTGAGATACCGATCACCAGAATAATGGCATTGATTTTGGTGATGCATTTTTGATAAGTGTAACAGATTTCGATTGTGTAATGCGGCACAGTTTGATGTAGAAGTTGGTGTATGGTAAATAAGGGTTGAAGTTTATATACCTTTTTGCATACTTAACTATGATTCTGCACAGGAGCCTGGCCGCACACTAGGCCAAACTGTTTTGACACCATTGGAGTTTTGATATTAATGTCTTAAGCATAGGCTACTCTCTCTTATTTCCAATGACCGAAGATTATAGTGAAACTTATTCAAGCTATTGATTTTTTCACTCGGGTTTTGTCTGAAGTGATTCTATTTCAAAGTATTTCATTGTAGAGCGAATTCCACGCTATGTGGTCTATCCACTCTGCATGAAGATTAGAGTAAAGGCTTATACTCATCTGTGAACATTTATTATTTTAATAGGCTGCAGAAGTCAGCGATCACTACCCGGTTGAGATGTTTATCAAGGGAAATCTGGATCTCGAGTATAGGTGCGTGTTTATGTCTGTGTTTCCGACGTTTCTAGCAATACCTATAAGTTGTGATGTAGGCCTACTCATAGTTACGATGCGATCAAAAAAATGCCGATATTTGAAAAATTTATTTTGAATACTAACAATTGGAGCCTTAATTCTGCATCCGATTCCAAAATCTTAGAATTGACGTATTACTCAATAGTATTAAATTGTGATCTCACGACAAGTATATTTGCAAAAAAAATCACAAATTGTATCCCCGCGGCATACACATTTTATTACTAATAATCATGTGACATATCTAATTCACTTCATATTCGCATTCGCGTGAATTGATGTAGTCAGAAAATATCTGAAGCCATTCTTTGGCTCGAAGAAACGCACCAATTTCTTTTTATGAGAGCAGACATCTTTAATACATTTATAATATGAACTGTTATCATTTAGTTGCGGTATTTTTGTTTATACTCGCAGTCCTGATGCGGTACAGCCGATGTTGCCTGCGTACTCTGATAGCATCAGTCGCTCGGGGAGTTTCCGTGCCGTGGTGTGGATGTGTCTGCTCGTAATGGGCCCACTGATCTTCCCTTAATTGTGTATCAACAAAGTCGTCCAGTCGTATACGGTTCATCGACACATGTACTATTCAATGGATCAGACTTTTCGTAAATTAATTGAATTGAATTGAAGTTTTTTTTTAAATTGTTCCTACCATTCTCGCAGTCCAAAGACTGAATTGCGATGGTTACAATTTACAATTTTAACAGAAATCATTTTAAAAGGACCATTTATACATAATTATGTTAGACATTGAAATATTCTTAAAAGATCATTATTTTTTTATGCATAATGTTAAACATTTAAATATTCTAAAAAGACTCTATATACATACATGTGCATTAACAATGTTAAAATTCTACCTAGACTAGATAACAAGAACCGTGTTTTGTATAACTGTACACGCCTTTCAATCAAATACAATGATACTATTCATGGTACAACTAAAGAAAAAAACAGTATACTTCATTCTATTCATTCATTATTAACTAATGACAACATTAAGCTTTGATAGGAAAACTGAATAACTGTTTAATCTTAATCAAGGAAATAGGAAGGTGGACATGATGAGAAAATAATACTGAAACGGGCACGTATAACATCAAAACTGTAACATTTCACATATTATCAACAAACACATCAACGTCATAACAAAAATTGACATAGCGATAAAAACAATGCATTTTATGTTTTACATCCAGACTTATCCGAGGATTTAATTTTCCAGTTTGAATCTTGCATATATGGGCATGTGCTGACATTTCTTTGAAGCACTTTTCTCCGGCCTTTTCCGGGGACAAATTCCCACAATGCGTTGCGTTTCCCCCAACGAATTTTGCGTAAGACATTCAGCGTCATCAGCTTCTCACACAAACAACAGAGTAATGGATTTTATTGGTACATGTAAGGAGGTGTATATTTTTAATGACAAGAGTACTATATATACCAAGTCATGTCTTCGCAGGCGAGCTTGCTGACAACGGGAAAAATGCTGCACAACAATAAATTCGACCAAAATATGGATACGTATAGCCTATGCCAAAGCTTCTCCCGTTACATTTGGTCTGCAGACTTCAAACTTTTCGGACATTGTAGCCACACTATCCAGCTCTCAATTCATGTAAAAAATATTCGGGAATAAGAGTCCTATATAATACGAGATATATTATACCAAGCCATCTCTTCGCGGGCGAAGGCCCCTGATAGGAAGTCAAAGGCAAAATGTTGCACAGAAATATGCATGGTCAAATCATGGATGCGTATCTCAAAATGTCTACAATTATATTTTGGTCTACGGATTCTAACAGTTTTGAACATTGTACCCACGATATCCATCTCTCTATCCATGTAGAGATGTTAGGGAATTTCTCATTACAAATGGCTTAAACATTGAGATACACCATGCCATGTCATTGCAGGCGGATTGAGGCTTTCCGAGGGGAGTCGCGGAACGTCCAAGCTGCTGAGAATGAGAAAAGACCCTTTTCAAGTTACATGTAGTTGATTACATTTAAGCACCAATCGGATAGCCTCAATTGTAGTTCTTACCCTTCGTTGCATAAACTTCGGAGTAGTCCATATAAGATACAATCTTTCATCTTCATAAACACAACCAAGTAGGTCTTTAATCACTACGTTATCTGCACACGGTTGCTAGATAACTTGGGAAAAAATCCGGGGAAAGTACATAATATTAACAAGAGAGAGAAGTCCAACCACTTTCGATTTTAACACTTAAAAACAGCACTGTTTTACGACAATTAATTATTATGAGAAAGTATAAACACCAAAATAAACTTTTCAAAAAATAAAATAACATAAAATATACCCAAATATGGGACAAAATGTATTACACGACAGGTATTAAAGATTTATGCAAATTAGGCATATTTCCACTAAAAATCCAGCTTGGTAACCATCATTTTCAGATTCAGCACCCCAGAATTAGTTAAAATTAGCTATGTTACCAACTTCTACCAGAGTTGCTGACTCGAGTCATGTGACTTGGACTCGAGTCGGACTCGAGTTGCTATTTTTGTGACTTGTGACTTGACTTGTAAATACCAGCTTTGACTTGTGACTTGACTTGGACTTGCAAACAATGACTTGTGACTTGACTTGGGATTGCAAAAAATGACTTGTTACCAACCCAAGTCAGACGTTACTCGAGCGACCCAATACACTTGAATTAAGCTATTATACATTTAATTAGCATTTTAATTCCAGAAAATAGACCTCAGTGACTGAATCCAGTGAAATGAATAGTTCCCACTAGTTTAAAAAGTGTTCAATAAGACTGTCACAACAAACTACAGTTTTCAATGACCAATTGTCTCTTACTTAATGTATTGGTTGAACAAACTTTGAAAGGAACCTTTCATGAAAAGAAAGCAGGCCTTTGTCAATTGCATGTAAAATACCGGATAGCCTAACCCATTGGTAGGCGTTTAGTATACATGAAAATTGAACAATAAAGTGTTAGTATACTACATGTAATCGAGTGAGGAAGTCTTTTTTTCACGGTCATCTCAACATTTATTTCTACAATGTAAAGTAAATTTATTAAAGTATACAAAGGGCTAATATCCGACATAATTATATGTGATAAACTACAAGAATAGTAATTGCAACACATTGAAAAAGGGGAATTAAGGAGGCATGTTCAAAATAACTCGTAAGTTCACGCAAGGTTAATTCTTTTAGCTTATTACAGCTGGACAAAATAATGTGCAACTTGACGTGTTCTTGGACAAAGATACTTGTGACTTGACTTGTTTTTAGACCAAATGACTTGTGACTTGACTTGTGACTGGACCTAATGACTTGTGACTTGACTTGTGACTGGACCTAATGACTTGTGACTTGACTTGGACTTGCAAACAATGACTTGTGACTTGACTTGGACTTGCAAAAAATGACTTGCTGCCACGTCTGACTTCTAATAAGAAATGCACTGATCTTTCTTGCCCTAAATGGGCCCTTTTTTTAAATATCGCCTATACAATAAGGTGTCGTGCACACGATAGAGCCTGAAACGCCATTTTGTCTTTGAGCTTCCGGACCCCCCCCCCTCAATGGCATTTTACACGGGGTTACCCTTCCTTTGTACGGGTGTCGCCAGGATTTTGTTAGAGGTGTGGGGGGGGGGGGGGGCAAAGTCCCCCAAATCCCTGTACTTTTCCACCATACTCTCAATTTATCATTTTTTTCCGAGGGTATGGACAGGGGGACATATGGCAATATGACTTCGCACCTCTTTTTCTTTCGTTTTTCTTCCCCCCCCCCCTTTTCTTTCTTTCCTTTATCCCGATTGCTCCCTTCCCTCGCGACGCCCATGTGTGCCTCGTGCTGTAATTTGACTGAGGAATATATCTAACCGTAACCACACCCAAGAAACAGTCGTGTTGGAATTTTATCTTGGCATTCCTCAAGAAAAGAAATGATAAAAAAAATCGGTTGGAAATGGGTAAAAACGAATTTTACTTACGACCCTCACTTCCGGATTTTGGTTCCTATAGGCTTGTTCCATCACATTTTGTTTTCACATCGCGTACTTCCATGCATGCGTGGGGACAAAAAAGATTTTATTATTACAAAAAAAATTAGGGGGAAAATGATATCCAAGGCCTTTTCTACACGTATAACTAAATTCTGGCTGGATATCAAAGAGGTTCCCTTTTAACACATATAGGGGGTTGTCCACTTTACCATACTATAAGGTATAGAACGCTTCAGTGACGTTAATTGCCCTGTAACCATGATGCGTGTATCGACGTTGTAGGGCCGTCTTACTGGATGCAAAACTCAGCTATAGTCAAGGGCGGATCCAGAACACAATTTTTTTTTTTGGGGGGGGGCAAAGGTCCCAAAAAAGTGGGCCCAACAGAGTGGGGTTAGGCGCCCGCTTAAGGGCCAAAAAATTGTGTTTGCTTCTAGTTTTAGATGCTCTGTGGGGCGATCTGAGGCAATTTCTGACCACTTCAACCAATCTTGTTTTGAGGAAATGATGGTGGTCACGCAGCGCCTGCCTCGGGGGGGGGGGGGGGGGGGGGGCCCCTCCCAGATTCGCCCTTGGTTATACATCTTTACATTTTACCTTGCTTGAGTCTCTTTGACAATATATTTCCATTACGTTTAGGATAAAGTACGTACGTGCCCAGTTGCGCACCCAGGATTTGGCTTTGGGAGGGGGCTCACAAGTTTTTTTAAAAGTTAAAATTTTGTCAAAAATTTTTCCCAAAATTGTTGGCCGCAGAAACAAATTGGGTTTTTTTGGGGGGGGGGGGGGGGGGGGGGGGGGGGAGCGAACTATTTTGACGTTGGTGGCGCCACTTACACCCATATTATACTACTCGAAAATAGGCTAAAACATACATCACTATTAGGTCAAATCGTGGGACTAAAAACAAAGGTAAAAAAAAGGTAAAAAATGGACAACTTGGGGGGGGGGGGCTCAAACCCCCCTCGATCATGTTTTTATCGTTAAAAAAACATTTTGGTATAAATTCATGACATGCATTTTTGAATAATTCTTTCCTGAAGTTGCTCATCATAACCTGCATTTAATGTCCATTTTTACGTTGTGCCTTAAGTATTCACTCGGCCGAGTTTCAATGGTTGCGTCACCTTCTATTTTATTATTTGACGGTTGCCTAGACTTTGCATGTGAGATGTGAGGATCGTCACTGATCACTGGCTAGGGGCGGTCCTGCTGGGTGCATGCCAAAAATAGTCCCAGTTAAGTTATAAAAAAGAGGGACTTTCATGGTTGATCAAGACATACAATTTAAGCCTGATTTACTTTCATTCCTAATCTGTACAATTTGTTTTTTGTTTTTGGAGGGGGGGCTGGGTGTTAGCCGAGACTTTAGAGTAATTATTCTCGCAAAAGCATCATGGTCAATCCTATCGTATTAGACAATCTGAAGACAAGATCGACATATCCATTAATTCCATCACAAAATAGAGTACTTCGAGTACATTTCTGATTTCTCAGAAATACAAATTCAACCTGAAGACCGACTCGGAACCTCGGAAACCTCGCTATACGATGCTCAGGCTGGCATGAAGTGCATAAGTGGTGGAGGCTCATTATCATGATTATGATCTTTATTATACAGCTATAGCTACTGCTGGCCAGCTGCATCTGGCTCGCGAGAGTTCGAGTCTGTTCGAGTGTATAATGAATATGCATAGCGCATAAGGTCAAAGGTACGTACGTACGACAGCCAGTGATTTTCCATTGAAGATATCGGTACGGTCCGGCCGGCGCCGGTCGATCATACACGTACGGCTTCTAGAACAGTTTAGTTCGCGTCCCCTTTTTGTCAACTAATTATTGTGGTTTTTGTATATAAATTGCATCAAGCTTGTCAAGAAATAGGAAGGAACAACACCAGTACAACGTGTTTCTGATCAATCAGATTTTAGTGTACCTTGTTGACCGATGTTGACGTTGCAAGCGTTTACCGGCAACTGACAACGTTTCTCCCGCCAATCCTCCGGCCAGTGCACGCTCCGTGAACACTCCATCGGACTCGTTGCCGCGCCGGCACTCGTCCTGTTCGTCTGGCTTCGTACGTTAGCTGATTGAGAAGCAAAATACCAACATGGTTCGGCTGACGATTCTATTGTTAAGGTCGGCCAAAAGCCTGCCGTCAAGAATGGACCATTTTTCGAAGTTTTCCCCGTCACCATTGTCGATGAAGCAGTTCTTAGATTTCGGTGAGTCGGCCTAGCTACATCATTCATACATGCCTGTCTTGTTTCAATCAATCAAGGCTAATCTATACCTAGGGCTTTACTAGCATACAGTACCGGACTACCGGTATGTTTCAAATTCTTACAACGATTCAATGCTTCAGCACTAGTCACTGCAGCTGGTATGTGTGTAGAGCGCAATAGTTACATTCAAATTTCAGTAAGAAGTTTGTTGACTAGTTCGCAAATTTTATTGTTTTAAATCAATTCCTACTTTTTTAAAGTAACGTAGATTTAATTTTTCTTTCGAATCCATGGCTCTGTAAGATATTGTAAAGGGAATTGAAGTCAGAGAGGAAAGAATTCCGTACACGGACATCACTTTTTTCAGTAAATTTTCAAGCGCCAAAAAGTTACATCCCAGATCATGCAGATGCTATGCATAGTAGCCTATGGTTTATTTCCTCCACTTTTCCTTCTCAACTTTCACCATCTCTCCCTCCTCCATTCCTCTTTATAAATCTGTTACATATGTACTTACTTCATGGACATCAATGGGAATCAAACCCAGAACGGGAGAAACTGTCATAATTAAACACACCAGCCTTAACCACTCAACTGCTCCTAAAACTATGGCATTGGTCTTGTGACACATAAGACCCATAGTTCTAGGGGTACCACTCGACCACACACTCCTTCTTGGTGTTACAGGTCTAGG